AGGGTTCTGTGGAGCTGGCGCCAGTGAGTCCTGTGGGAAGCAGAATGTGATGTACCATGAGGCAAGGGTTGGAAAGAAATCTCCAGATGATTTCTGTTCCTGCTTCAGGAGACAGCTGCTGCTGGTGGTGAAAAAGTGGTATTGGGGACACTCACAGGAATGGCAGCCAGGGAGGGTCAGGCTGGGAAGAAGGGGTCTGCTCCTCCTGCCCAGCCCTCCTGTGACAAAGCCTGGATGGGACGTGCAGTTCTGACCCCGAGCGTCATTGGCAGGGGTGGGACCTGGAGATGAAAGGCGGGAATTGACATCCCTCTTAAGACTTTAAAAAAAATATATTTTATTTATTTATTTGGTAGGTAGAGTTATGGGGCAAGGGGGAGGGTTTCATCCGCTGGTTCATTCCCCAAGTGGCTGCAGTGGCCAGAACTGGGCTGACCCAAAGCCAGGAGCTTCTTCCAGTCTCCTGCACAGGTGCAGGGGCCCTACTGCTTGGGACATCTGCTGCTGCTTTCCCAGGCCATAGCAGAGAGCTGGATCAGAAGAGGAGCAGCTGTGACTTGAACCAGCGCCCATGTGCAATGCGAGGCTTAGCCTACAACACCACAGCACTGCCCACCCCCACACCCCGTAACACTTGAGAAGCAGGTGGGGAGAAGTGCACACTGAGCATATCACATTCTGTTGTTCTATGGAAGTAGCGGCTTAGCCTCAAATCACTGTCAAAGAATGAGGCTTTCTCATTAAAAATTTCTCATTATGAAAAGCTGTGATACAAGTTTCATTTCCATTTTTCTTTACAGTCAAAGGATGTGAAGTTTAGCCACGTCATGGACAAGGGCTTGTATCTTAACGCCCGTAGAGGGATGTTTATAATACTGAATTTCTGTTCCATACTGGGAAATCCCAATCTTTTGCTTTTGACTTGGGTGTTTGAAAGTCAGAAGTCGTCGTGACAAGAGGAGCCTGAGCTTCAGTGTTACGGCAAGCGTCTCCAGGACCCTTAAATCTGGGACGAGGGCTGCACGGGAAGCCGCGGGGTTTCCCTGGAGTGACCTGCCTGGCGGCTCTGTGTCCTGCCTTGGTGTGGATGTGGTTTGTTTCTGGAGGGCTCAGATGGCGGAGCTCGATGCCCAGAGTGGCACGTCCTGTTCTGCAGGGCCGCCCGATGGAGAAGGTCGTGCTTCTGGGAAGCTGGTTGGCTCCGGACAGAGCCTGAGCTCCCACCTGTCTCTCTGGTTTCCCATCTCAGCCTGTCAGCTCTGTGCTGTGCACACTCCAGTGGGACACGGGCCAAGAGCACCCTCGTGGGAACCGAGCCACCCAGACACCAGGCCGTTGAAGCTGTGCAGCTGGGAGCCAGATAGATCTCTTTTCTTCATAAGCTTTGCCTGTCTCAGGTGTTTGTTTATTTTTGAAAGAGTCACAGAGAGAGGTACAGCCAGAGAGATAGAGAGGTCTTCCATCTGCTGGTCAACTCCCAAATGACTGCAATGGCCAGAGCTGAGCTGATCTGAAAACAGGAGCTTCCTCCACGACTCCCACGTGGGTGCAGGGGTCCAAAGACTTGGGCCATCTTGTACTGCTTTCCCAGGCCATAATAGAGAGCTGGATGGGAAGTGGAACAGCTGGGACTTGAACCGGCGCCCATATGGGATGCTGGTGCAACAGGCCAGGGCTTTAACCCACTATGCTGTGGGGTTTTTCAGATGAGGAGACAGGACACGGGAGCGGCCATTCTAAGAGTGTGCCACCGGGGTAGCTACGAGCTCCCACTTTTATTTAGAGGGTACCAGCAAGTCTGCAAGCCAGCAGGCACATAGGTAAGGTTATACATCAACTTAAGGATTTGAGAAAAGGAATTCGGTCTGGTGGTCTAAGATAGGGATTAGAGCTGTGTTGCAAATCTTCAGAGACAGGCCCATTTAGATGCTCCTGCAAATTTGAAATATTCCAAGTACCAATTAAGGTCCATTAACCTCCTGCTGCTCCTGCTGCCACATTCCTTTGGGGGCGGGTGTGCCCATCCCTGGCCTGTTGGCCTGTTGCGGAGCTGTGGAGCAGAAACTGCAGCCTGCCTCCAATTTCAGGGGCTGTGCCCCGCCCCCCAGGCACTTAGGGGCATTATCTCTGCAGCACCGCCCCGCTAATTCTTGCATTGTTCTGTGTTTTCCCTGTGCTCCTGCCAAGCAGGCCTGCCTCTAGGCTTCTGCTCAGCTTGGTCCTGGCCTCTGCACGCCTTTCTGGTGTTGCTCTCTCCCTGTTTGCTCTGTGCTGATCAGTCCCAGCCTCCATCGAGGGCCGCTGTGGCTCTGAGCTGCAGTGCAGTCTGTCTGTACCGAGGTGTGTTCTTCCAAGTCCCTTTGACTTTTCTTGTTCTGTTTCTGACCCAGAGACACTTCACCATCTCCATTGATTTGTTCTTTGAGAATCCTCTCATTCTCTGCAGGATTTCTGCCCAGGCGTGCACTGCCTCTCTGCTCCGCTCCGCCTGGCATCCTGGGCACACTCTCCCAGCAGTGTTCCTGCTCTTTGAATGGCAGTGTTCTCTAGTAAGCTGAGTATGTTGTATCTCTGGTATTAGCACTGAGCAAATGTGTAACGTGTCCAGTGACTGAGTGCTAAGTGATTTGTCCCAGGTCTCCCAGTTAAGAAGTCACAGAGTCAAGTCTCGGTTTTCGTGACATTTCCACATCACAGATCTCTCTGTGCCCTTCCCCCGCCTCCAGACACTGATGGTCTGACTCATATTTGTGCCCACAAAAGCACACAGTAGAGGGGTCTTTATTTGCAGATATTGGCTGTGCACGTTGTCTGGGAGGAGTTGAGAACCAGCCATATCCAGTGTGTATCTGATTCCTACAGAGTGGGGTTCAAGGCACTGTCGTCATCCAGTGCAGATGGGAGGGAGTGGAGTATCAAGAACCTACGCAGCCACTGCAGGCTTAATTTTCTTTGCCTGGCACAGTTTTTATAATCATAGAATTGGAGCTCATGTTATTCTGTTTCCCAGATATTCAGGATCTGATATTATCTCTACTTCCTTTCTCTCCCCAGTGCAGTGGAAAAAAGAGGTAATTCTTGTAATTTGCCTTGCGATGCCTCATATATGAAAACATGAGCTCATTGTCCGTCTGACTAGGAACAGGAAATTGGACAGCGGGCCTGCTGCCTGTCCAGTGGAATGGCTTGTGAACCATTAGGAAATGGAAGGCATTTAGTATTCTTCATGATTACAAAACCCATGTGTTTGTGTGATGAAGAAAAGTGGGGGAAGTGTAGGTTTTGTTTCTAAAGGTGATTTTTTTAAAAGAGTTATTTTTTTGAATAACAGAGTGACAGGGACTTCTTATTCGAAAAGCAGGGAGTGAGAATCTTCCCTGAAAGACTGCAGTAGTCAAGGCTGGGCCAGGCTGAAGCCAGGTGCTCCATTCTTGTCCCCAAAATGGGTGGCAGGGACGCAGGTCCTTGGGCCATCATCTGCACTTTCCCAGTCACAGCAGCAGGGAGATGGATCAGAAGCAGAGTGGCTGGAGTTGAACGGTAGGAGATGCCCGTGGGCCGAGCAGTGGCCTCAACCCTGGCCCCGTGCTCCGCTTTTAAGCAGGGGCAGGAAGTAAGCACAGACTTCTCTGGTCTCTGCTTTTCTCAGCCCCATCCCTCTCTTGCCCTGTGGGGTGCCTCTGACCATACGCTCTGCTCTCTACCCTGGTGTCTCGGCTAAAACAGGACCCACAACGAGCAAGGGGCCCTCCTGTAAGCCCTGACCTTGCTCCATTATTCTCTTCTCTCTCCTCCCAGCTAACCACACCCCTCAGAAGAGCGTGTGTATGCTGTCCATGTTTCTTTCCTCCAGCTGGATGGAAGCGAGTTTTTAGATGCGCTTTGCTCAGGAAACAGGAAGCTTGCGCATGTAGGCAGTGAGCCCCGGAGGGGCTGTGATGGGAGCGCCAGACGGGGCACGGCCCTCCGGCTGCATCCACGCGTGCTGGTCATGGTCCTTGCTGGGGTCCGGGACCTTCGTGCTGCCCACTCTGTGGGTGCCGAAGCAGAGGCCGGCATCTCTGTCCTGCGGGACCTTGGGGCTTCTGTGACCCCCTTGTGTGGCATCGGTTCTGGGGGCTGCTCTTCACTACCTGTGGGGGGCGGAGCTTTCCTCACAGTTGTCAGGTGACGCCGTCTGCTCTCTGGGCTTAGCTGTCTTATGTGTCAGTGATACCCAGACGCGCATTTCTGGCCATCACCTTCGGAAAGTCAAAGTTGGCACACGTGAAACTAAATCCTTGGACTTCTCCCGCGTGACATCTGCTGCTCCTGCCTTTGCTGGCTCTCTGTGTAAGCTGCTTTAACGTGACACCGAGGTCAACTCTCGGTTCAGGGGTGAAGTCAGACGATGACTTTATTTTGGTTTTCGACTTTGTTTTTATTTATTTCATGGTTTAGAGAATATGGCTTATAATTTGCTAAGTTCATCCCTCCTGTTTTGTGATAATACTTGGTAAGTTTTTTTTTAAAGTGTTCCATGAATGAGTTAGCATTCCTCATTAGCAACTTACTGTTGACTTTCTGATAATTTTTCTCTGTGTATGGTACGCCAGGTTTGTAGTACAAGCAGTTGATTGTCGAGATTGCTGGGTTGCACATTTCATCCATGTTAAGACATACCTGTGTAGTGTTTTGAAATACGCGTTTATAGAAATACCACTTGCATGGATTTCGTGTTAGCATTTACCTGATACGTCACACAGATGATTCGTAACCTGCTCCTTGTACACAGAGGCAGTGAGCAGCTCACGATCGCGACACACAGACGCCCTCGGGTTGTCCTTTGCTTGCATATGGAGTGAGGGGAGGGTCAGGGCATAGATGTTGGATGTCGTTAGATATTCTTTGCAAATCAGTGAATCCTCCTCTGTGCACAGTCCTTACTTAAACGTTCAGAAAATGCTTGTGGAATGGGTAAAAGAAATGAATGTCTTGATTTCCCCTTGTTCTCTCTGAAGATCTCCATGGAGAATGATTATCTGGGACCCCGAAGAATCGAAAGTCTCCAGAAAGAAGACGCAGACTGGCAGCGGAAGGCGCACATGGCTGTGCTGTCCATCCAGGACCTCACTGTCAAGTATTTTGAAATAACTGCTAAAGCACAAAAAGGTAGGCTTCCCAGTCGGACTGTCCCTGTCAGCGTGGTTGTGAGGACAGTGAGGGACCAGCATGTTACATTTGAACTGATGATTCAGAAAAGAAGTTCACGGAAAATGGAATGAAATGTTGATCTTGCTGCAGAAAAATGTTTTGGAGCCCATGGATGCAGTAGACCCCTGCAGCTGCGAGCAGTGACAGAGCCCCGTGCTGGGCGTAGGGGTGTGCCCTTTCTCACCTCCCTGGCGTGTGTGCACCCACCCATCCCCCTGCCCTCGGGAGCAGCGTGTGTGTCCACAGCCCTCCTGGTGACATTGCGGGAGAGGAGGGTAATGTCACACAGATTCGGCTGTGCACATGGAGAACGATGAACTTTGGCTTAACCACACACCTCTTATGAAGGTGAATTCAAAATGAATAATAGGTCTAAATGTAGAATGTTAACCTAGAAAACTTCCACAAAACCAGTAAGAGAAAAATCTGTTTCCTCAAGTTCCATATATCTTTGTAACTAGAGTTAGGCACAATTCTTAGCTATGACACTAACAATAAAAACTGAGAGAGAAGTGATAAAGAGCCTGAGCCGTAAAGGAGAATCTTTCTGAAGATTCACTTATTTATCTTGAAAGGTAGAGTGTGTGTGTGGGGTGGGGGAGGGTTTCTATCTGTTGTTTGACTCCCCAAATGGCTACAAGGGCTGGGGTTGGGCCAGGCCAAAGCCAGGAGCCCAGAATTCCATCCTGGTCCCCCACGCGGGTTGCAGGGGCCCAAGCACATAGGCCGTCATGCAGTGCTTTCCCAGACACATTAGCAGGGAGCTGGATCGGAAGCAGAGCAGGTGGGACTGGAACTTCTCCAGTGTTGTGTCAGCCCGACCTGCTGTGCCACCACGCCGGCTCCTGGAAGATGGATGTAATCAGTGTGTCCTTTGCCGCATGTAGTATAAGAATGAAACTGAGAGTGTTGAGAGAAAATATTTGCAAGTCGCATCCGACAAAGGACTTGTGATGAATTGTTGAGGTTCCAGCTCTGAATTAAGAGAGCAGTCTAGTTAAGAGGGGGGAAAGGGCCGTGAACAGACACTTCTGTAGGGAAGACAGAGCCATCTGGGAAAACAAGTTCAGCATCGCGCGTTAGGACAGAAGTGCAAATTGAAGCCACAGCCTTCGGAAAGCAAGAGTGTGTGGTGGTGGGCACTCCTCCTGCCTGGCTGACGGGCAGGCGCTCTGGAGAAGGACGTGGTGGCTTCACCCTGCGTGTGACCAGCCCCCCACCCCAGCCCCCGTTCCACCGTGTTCACCCTGGAAAGTGGTGTATTAGGAGCAGGCAGTGTAACCAGCTTCAGAGGTGGCTTTTGCTGCTGGGAAGCTGTTTTCATGGTGACTGGGTACTTAACTGTGCAGTCGGCTTTCTAGTTAGCTCCTCTCCAGAGCTTCACATGGCAGCGGAGGGCAGAGTCCCCTGCCATCATAGCGGCGCCATCATAGCGGCAGTGACCCGAGACTGCGCGAGGGCAGGGAGCTGCTCCCCGACGTGGTCCTGCGTGGGCAGTGTGCAGCACGTGTGTGTGCACTGGGGGGAAGTGGGGTGTGAACACTGCAGGAGCACCTGTAGTTGTGTGACTTTGCTGTCAGTCATTTCCGGAACTCCTCAGGGTCTCATATCCGTGCAGAAGGTGTTCTTAATGTGTGTGTGGTCTGAACAGGAAAAGTGCTTCAAAAATTATGTGAATGTTGATGTTTGTGGTGGGGTGAGGATGGAAGGGATACCGTGAAGCAAGTACAGGCCGTCTGTTGTCTTCCTGTTGCCATCTGAAGTGGGAGAGACGCTTGGGTCCCTTTGGTTCTCTCCCTCAGCCTCTCCAGCCCTACTGGTAGATGCCGTATTTCCTCACTGTGTGCACTCAAGAAAACTGAGCCACAAGCTGGTGAGGCTCCTTGCTGACAGTTACAGGTCTGGATGGAGTCGGTGTCTTCCGGGCTGCATGCCTGTCCTCTTTTCCCTTGAAACCCTAGAATTGAGGTTCAGGAGATTGTGACTAATTATCTCCTCTTGTTAACATTTAAGGCTCACACACAAGGAAGTGATAAACTATTTGGAATGGAGATTGTAAACGAGCAAATTTCCCATCTGTCAGAACAGCTGACTTTTAGAGACTGGATCAAGAACCAGCAGTGACCATGTGTGGAGGTGACCGCCAGGTGTAGTGAACAACGAGCAGGAGTTGAGCCCTGGCCCTCCCCAGGAGTACCCTCCTCTCTGTGCAGCTCTAACTGCCCCCCCCCCAGAAACCTTTTATTTACAGTATACAAACTTCATACACTTCATATATACAGCTTTAGGAACATAGTGATTCTTCCCACTGTACCCGCCTCCCACCCTTCTCCTCCCTCTCCTATTCCCATTATTTTTACTAAGATCTATTTTCAATTAACTTTATACACAAAAGATTAGCTCTATTCTAAGTAAAGAGCTCAACAGATAGTATGATCTGTGGTCTATATTCTAGAGAAAATTCCATGCACTGGTGAGAAGAATGTGTATTCTGCAAGTGTAGGATGAAAAGTTCTGTAGATATCTGTTAGGTCCATTTGGTCTGTAGTGTCGATTAGCTCTGCTGTGTCCTTGCTCATTTTCTGTCTGGTTGATCTGTCCATTGTTGAAGGGGGGGGCGGCTGGCACTATGGCATAGTGGGTATAGCGGGTAAAGCCGCTGCCTGTAGTGTCGGCATCCATACAGGCGCCAGTTTGAGTCCCGGCTGCTCCACTTCCGATCCAGCTCTCTGCTAAGTTCCTGCTGTTGCAGCCAATTGGGGAGTGAACCAGCAGAAGGAAGACCTCTCTCTCTCTCTCTCTCTCTCTCTGCCTCTTTGCTTCTCCTTCTCTCTCTGTGTAACTCTGACTTTCAAAGTAAATAAGTAGATAAATCTTTAAGGAAAAAAAGTGGGGTATTGAAGTCCTCCTTTACTATTGTATTGGAGTCTATGTCTCCCTTTAGATTCATTAACATTGCTTTTAAATATCCAGGTGCCCTGTAATTCGTGCATATTCATTTATTATAGTCACATCTTCCTGTTGAACTGATCCCTTAATCATTACATAGTGCCCTTCTTTGTCTCTTAACAGTTTTTGTGTTAAAGTCTATTTTATTTGATATTAGGATGGCTACACCAGCTTTTTTTTGGTTTCTGTTAGCATGGAATATCTTTTTCCAACCTTTCACTTTCAGTCTGTGTACATCTTTGTTGGTGAGATGTTTTTCTTGTAAGCAGCAAATAGATGGGTTTTGGTTTTTAATCCATTCAGCCAGTTTGTGTTGTTTAACTGGAGAGTCGAGGCCATTTACATTCAAGGTGACTATTGATAAGTGAGGACTTGGCCCTGCCATTTTTCTATAAATATTCCTATTGTTTACTTTGGATTTCCTTTGTACTTTTACTCGGAGGTTTTCTGCCTTCACCTTCTTTCATAGTCTTTCTCTGTGTAGCACATCCTTAAGCATCTTTTGTAGGACGAGTGGTGACAAATTCTTTCAATTTCTATTTGTTATGGAAGGTCTCTATTTCATCTTCATTCATAAATGAGAGCTTTGTAGGGTACAGTATTCTGGGTTTACAGATTTTTTTCTTTTAAGACTTGGAATATATCTTGCCATACTGTCCAAGCCTGTATGGTTTCTGATAAGTCAGCTATAAGTCTAATTGCAGATCCTATGAAAGTAATCTGGCTTTTCTCTCGCGAACATTGTAGAATCTTTTCTGGGGCCGGTGCCATGGTGTAGCAGGTAAAGCTGCCACGTGCAGTGCCGGTATCCCATATGGGTGTCAGGTCTAGTTCTAGCCGCTCCACTTCCAATCCAGCTCTCTCTGCTGTGGCCTGGGAAAGCAGTGGAAGATGGCCCAAGTCCTTGAAGCTCCTGGCTGCTGGCTTTGGAACAGCACAGCTCCAGCCATTGCAGCCATTTGGGGAGTGAACCATCAGATGGAAGACCTGTCTCTCTCTCTCGCTGCGCCTCTCCTTCTCTCTCTGTGTAACTCTTTCACGTAAAATAAATAAATCTTTTTAAAAAAATGTTTTCTTTATGTTTTACTGTGGAGAGTTTGACTACAATGTGTTGTGAAAATCTTTTCTGGTCATGTCTATTAGGAGTTCTATGGGCTTCCTGTACTTGGACGTCTCTTTCTTTCTCCAAATTAGGGAAGTTTTCTGAAATTATTTCACTATAAAGGCCTTCTAATCCTTTCTCTCTCTTTTAGGAACTCCTGAAATCCATATGTTGGGTCATTTGATATTACCCTATGGATCTCCAATGTTGTTTTTTAGTTATCTAATTTCTTCTTTTTTTGATCTGACTGTAAAATTTCCAGAGATTTGTCTCGTAAGTCAGATATTCTTTCTTCTGCCTCACCGGTTCTGTTGTTAAGGCTTCCCACCACATTTTTTACTTGTTCTGTGGAATTCTTCATTTCTGCTAATTCATTTTGATTTCTCTTTAAAATCCTAATTTCATGAGAAAAATTTTCTTTGATGTCATGTACAGATTTCTTAGTTTGTGGATTTGCTCCTAGCTACTTCTAAGTAATCCCAAGTCAATTTTCTGAATTCCGTTTCTGGCATTTCCTCAGTGTCTTCATTTTCGTATTCTGGTATTGAAGTGTCGTGCTCCTTTGGAGGAATCATGTCATCTTCGTTATTCTTGTTTCTTGAATTGCTGTGTTTATGAGGCGTTGGTGGAGATACCTGTTGGTTGGTCTGTTTTTCCCTGTGATGGCTTTTATCTCGGACTGTGCCTCTGTGCATGAGTGGAGTGCCTGCTCTTTCAGTGAGTACCCTGAGGGGAGTAGGGTGCCCAGGGAGCTCTGGTCAGTGCTCCAGGATGAGGGGAATGACCAAGGTGACACGCAAGTTGGGTGTGATAAATCTCCTCTTTAAAAAAAATCAGAGGGGAAGTTTGTTCAGCTCTGCTGGTGAGTCTCAGGCTCACCTCCTCTCAGAGGAGACCAGTGCCTGGGCGCTAGCCCTAGTGGGTGCAGTTTCATCTACACTACCACAAAGGATCTGTGCAGTCCTCGGTGTGAACACAGATCCTGTAGCAGTGACCCTCACCAGGGAATCAGGGAGCCTGGAGTGTGTGGAGCCACCACCCACAGTGACTGCCCAAAGACCCAGCCTCACCCTGCGCCCTCACACACAGCCACAGTGTTTTCACAGTCCCAGCACAGAAGGCCCCTACAGTCACGAGCACCCAGCCCCCTGTCAGTTCTCCCACCAGACTCAGGCATTTTGTCTCGGCTGGTTGCTGGGTGCTCAGACATGAGCTGGCACAGCTGTTACGTATGCCTGTTCTTATATAGTTGCAGGACACTGGTGCTGGGTGGTCGGGGAGAGAGACATGTGCCGCACCCCTTTCTCCCTCTAGGTTGGCAGGTGCACTGTGCCCCAGAGTGTCCGCCAGACTCCCACCAGGCTCTTCCTGCAGCTCCATCACCAGTGGCGTGGGCTGCTGCAGTCTGGTCTCACCTCACTCTGGTGCAGAGGCCCTCGGCTCTGGGGTCCTGGGTTGTAGGCGTCCACACCTTCCGTGTAGATTCACTCTGTCCCTGTAATTTGTGTGGAGTTCACTCTGTCGTGTTCTCCCAAACTCTTCCCTGAGAGTGCACTCTCTCCACGTTTTTCTAAACTGTCTTCCAGACATTTTCTTTATATCCAGGCAAAGGTTAGTGAAGCATCTGTCTTGGAAAAGATGTTTAGTATGTAATAGCACAAAAATGTTTTTCACTCACTTTTTTTTTTTTAAAGATTTTTATTTATTTATTTGAGAGGCAGAGTTACAGACAATGGGAGGGAGAGAGAGAGAGAAAGGTCTTCCATCCTCTGGTTACTCCCCAGATGGCTGCAATGGCTGGCACTGTGCTGATCTGAAGCCAGGAGCCAAGAGCTTCCTTCAGGTCCCCCACGTGGGTGCAGGAGCCCAAGGACGTGGGCCACCTTCTGCTGCTTTCCCAGGCCATAGCAGAGAGCTGGATCAGACTCCAACCGGCACCCACGTGGGCTACTGGCACTGTACGTGTAGGATCAACCTACTGAGCCACAGCGCCGGCCCCTTCATTCAATTCTAAACATATCAAAGAAACTACCTGTGAGTATAGCTCAAAGATCACATTTGGTACATGTCATATGGCCTTTTTCTTTTGAAAAAAGGAAAGTGTGACTGTACCGTTGTGAAGGGTGGTTGGGCGTGCGGCTAGCCGTGTCCCACCACGTGGCCCTGGGCTGAAGCACTGCCACTCCGGCACCAGTGGGCAGCTCGCTTGGTTGAAGGGTGTCCGGCTGCCGGCATTGTCTTTGAGGCTGGGCTTATACTGGGACAAACTGGAAACGTCTTCGTTGCTTGCTTGAGGAGGGGAGCTGGGCCGTTTCCTGCGCGCCTGTGCACACCGCTCTGACCTGCTCAGCCACCGTCCAGGATGTCATCTTCCTGGCTTCAGGGTCGTGGAGTTTTCAGAGCACTCAGAAAAGTCACAACAGCTGTTCATGTTTTCAGTATTGGGCGCTGATTTCAGCATAGCTGGTAGAAAGCATAAACCTTCACGGAGTCAGGTTTTGAAAGACAACACTGGACATCTGATATAAAAGTCACTGTGACAGCAGCGGCTCCTGCAGAACGTTACTCAGAGAAGGAACTGAGGCATTAGACAGAGTGGATCATGTTGCTGAGTTCTATTCTAGAGGCGTTACAGTACTTCTTTTTTTTTTTTTAAAGATTTTTATTTACTTATTTGACAGCTAGAGTTACAGACAATGAGAAAGAGAGACAGAGAGAAAGGTCTTCCTTCTGTTGGTTCACTCCCCAAATGGCCGCCACTGCTGGAGGTGCACTCATCTGACGCCAGGAGCCAGGTGCCTCCTCCTGGTCTCCCAGGTGGGTGCAGGGTCCAAGCACTTGGGCCATCTTCTACTGCTTTCCCAGGCCACAGCAGAGAGCTGGACTGGAAGAGGAGCAGCCGGGACTAGAACTGGCGCCCATATGGGGTGCTGGCGCCGCAGGTGGAGGATTAACCTGACGCCGGCCCCAACAAGTACTTTTTCATGTCAGGATTTGTGTGTGGTCAGTGAGATCTGAGGTTTGTCTCTCATTAAAAGCTGTTCATTATTAACATCTCTGAATGTTACCACCAGCGGTGTATGACCGGATGCGAGCCGACCAGAAGAAGTTTGGCAAAGCCTCGTGGGCGGCCGCAGCCGAGCGCATGGAGAAGCTGCAGTACGCTGTCTCGAAGGAGACGCTGCAAATGATGCGAGCGAAGGAGATCTGCTTGGAGCAGAGGAAGCGCGCGCTGAAGGAGGAGGTAACAAAACCGTCCCGGACGGATCTAAAGTCAGAGAGTCGGCGTCTGCCGTTTCGTAACGACGCGACCTTTCTGACGGTGTGCGCAGTTGGTCTCCCCTGCCTGAAGAGTAGCCTCACGGGGCGCCTCAGGGCCCTGCAGTGGTGCTGGGCAGCCGTGCACTGTGGACAGCACAGCCTCGCCAGCAGTTCCTGGGAGGTGCTGTTGCCAGACACGGAGTGAAGCTGCTAAGGCCGTGGGCTTGGTTAGAGGTGAAGGGGCCGTGCTCACAGCGTCGCGTTTCCTGGAGCCCTCTCCTGACCACCTCATGGTGGAATCAACAGCGGGCGGGGAGAGGACTCCAGTGTTTTGTTCCTACAAAACGTTGTTTAAGCCAAGAATATTCTTAGAAATCCTCGGAAAGAGGTGCTCATCTTCATAGTCAAAACACGTTGAAGATGATATTTTAAAAATGATTAGCCACGCTCTTCCTTGCCATCTTGTTCGTGATTGCTCCTTGCACCTGTGCAGTGCTGCGCGCGCCATGCTGTGGAGCGCGGAGACTGTCGGCACAGCACTGAAACCATCGGTGCCCGCGCCGAGGCTCGGATGTCACCTGCCCTTCCTTATGTCTTTTCCAGAATGGTCCTACGAGTACATTGGAGCAGAAAGCACACTTTCAGTGGAAACGCACTTCTGCTTGGTCCTCTGCGGGTAGTTCTAAGTATTAGAAGAAGCAAATGTTGAGAACACGGAATTCAGTATTTATGAAAACAGATACTTGAGGCAATGCGTGGACTTTTTTCTTTTCTTTTTTTTTTTTTAAGATTATTTATTTGAAAGGCAGAGTTACAGAGAGGCAGAGAGAGAGGTCTCCCATCCTCTGGTTCACTCCCCAGATGGCTGCAATGGCTGGAGCTATGCTGTTCCGAAGTCAGGAGCCAGGAGCTTCTTCTGGGTCTCCCATACGGGTGCAGGAGCCCAGGGACCTGGGCCATCCTCCACTGCTTTCTCAGGCCACAGCAGAGAGCTGGATCAGAAGTGGAGCAGCCGGGACTAGAACCAGCGCCCATAAGGGATGCTGGTGCTGCAGAACAGGGCTTTAGCCCCCTGCTGGCCCCAATGAGTGAACTTTCAAAGATGGTTTGAGCAGTGACCCACTGACCCTGCTTGTTAGAATCCTGCTTGGTTTTAGTTGTTCATTCAGCGTGTGTTGTCTTTGCCAGGAGTTAGAGTGATAAGGATAAAGACGTGATTGATTACACCCCGTCTCCAGCGCACACGCACACGCACGTACACACACACACATGCACACACAGGCGAGCATGAGTAAGCTGCAGGCTTTGTGTTAGTGCGTGGTGGGGGAAGACTAGTGTAATGTGAAAAGGACCTGTGAGATTGTTCCGTCAGGAAGGGGAGCCCTGGAGAAGCACACGCAGCCGTGAGCTGCCTGGGTGAGAAGTGCCTGTGCTCAGACGCTAGCTGGGCTGGCGGGCAGGGAGCCCCTCTCGTCGTTTTCTGTTCTCTAAATGAACGGTTTCCCTGGCTGGTTTATAGAGTGGGTCAATGGGTCACTCTTAAATCTTTACTCTTACTCTGCCTTTCAAATTTTATTTCACAGCTGACAGTAGAGACCCATGCATTTCTCTAAAGTGAGTATAAATAATAATTAGTAGAGTAATGAAAGGGGCTTTGGTGTAAGGAACGTGGACTTGGAAAAGTGGACTCTGACTTCATGTTTTGGTCCGCAGTGGGGGGATGGGAGCAGGTGAGGACTGCACGAGGCACACGGGCAGGAGAGCCACGGACACACGCTGGTCACAGCGAGTGTTCAGTGAGCACAGTGCACGCAGCCAGGCAAGACAGGTGCATCTCCTGCATTAGGTAAAATAGAGTTGTTTGTGCTTTGTAACTCAAAGCGGTTTTTAAAACCTCTTTCTGACGTGTGTTTCACATGCCATTCGACTTGTCCATCTGGGGATACAGTTCAGGGGCTTCGCTGTACTCAGGAGCAGACAGAATGAAGACTTCTGGAAAGTGAAACTAGAGGTTAAGCGTCAAGTATTGCCACGAATGTGATGCCACCTGGGCTAGCAGGTCCTCCTGCTGTTGAGTTAAACGGTGTCCTTCCAGGCTCTGCTGCTCTGCAGTGCTGCTGGGTCTTGACTGTAGTCTTTCTTACCTTGTTGGGCCGTAGCCTCCTGCCCCTTTAAGAGCTGGAAAGCTAGGAACCCCGTGCTTGAGTAATGTCCGTATCCACGCAGTTCGTACGCACCTTTAGTCGGTTCCCAGGTCGTCTGCACCTGAACCACTAGTCCTAGACTGACTGTCAGAACTGCTGAAGATGTCATTTGCCAGACAGAGCCCTGGCAGAGTTTGTCAGCTGTGGCTGCCTTCTTTGGCCCCCTGCCCCGTGAGGACTCAGAAACAGCGCGTGGTCTGCAGGTAAACCTGTCAGTCTGTTCTCCGCTCCACCATCAGGCAGTGCCCCATTGTGGCGCAGCCTCTCAGGGCACTGGCTTGAGTCCCAGCAGCTGCACTTCTGATCCAGCTCCTTGCAAATGGGCTGAGAAGTAGCAGAAGATGGCCGAGTGCTTGAGGCCCTGCTACCCACGGGGAGACCTGTGTGGAGTTCCTGGCTTCAGTGTGGCCTACACCCGGCTTTCTTGTGGGCGTTTTGGGAGTGAGCCGATGGTTGAAGATTGATATGTTTCTGTCCTCTGTGTCTCTCTCTTGTCCACACTCCCCCCAGATTTTTTTTCTTTTTTTAAAGATTTGTTTTAAAGACAGAGTTAGATGGAGAGACGCCATGTTGCACTACTGTGCAGGTCGCAGTTCTGCAGATGTGTCCCGAATGTAACCTCGAGTGAGTGAGACCTAAGAAGTGTGCAGTAGCCTTCTGAGGGTGCTGTGGCCCCAGAGGTGCTGTGTCTCTCTGCTGGCCTTCCCGTGCCTGGCCTCCAGTGAGAAGGCGGTTACTCGGAGCCGTGACTGCCTTCATCCTGTGCTGGGGTTTAGTGCGTATCACGGAGGTGGGTGCAGAGAGGACGAGGACGTTTCCTGGGTTGCAGATGGTCACTTGCCTCAGCAGACATTTCTGGTTTCACCAAAGAACGTTGTAGAAGGTGGCGAGATGTTTCACGTGGGCCTCGCCGAAACCTGACAGCAAGGAGCTTCGTGGCAGCCACGGAGCGAGCAGAGGCGGGAAGCCACGCTGCTTGTCTATGCAGGAGACTAGGTTTTTGTTGTAAATTTGTTTCTCGATAGGCAGATTGTTGTAAATCTGCACCCTAGAAATTTTCACTCTCTAAGCACAGAAACCCATTCTGCACACGGAAGGTTCTATTTTTTTATTGCTTAAGCTCTGTCTTTGCCAGCTACATTGGCAGTGGTTGTAAACGGCAAGTAGAAAGCTGTAATGTTTTAGGTCCTGTCCTTAGTGCTTTATTTGTGTTATCTCATCTTCAAACAAAGCCCTTTGTGTTTAAGCCCGTGGGCCATCATTTACAACCCCTAAGGCTACGTATGTCTCAGTTCCAAGTTTTTCAGACTTTAGAAAATAATATGGAGCCAATAGCATGTGGCAGGTGTTGTCACTTCACTGATGAAACACAGTTACATTAAGTGGACTCTACTAGCAACACGGTCTGGTGAGATTAGGTTGTCCAACATTTCCAAAATGTGGAATTCCGGATGATTGTGTCGCCTCATCGCACACATAATTGTGCAGCTGTTGCTGATAGAAGTCGTGTTAGTGCTCAGGTTCGTCTCCTGTTCTTCCCACCTTTCCCACACAGAGGGGCTGGTCTTGGTTCAGAGCTTGTCTGAGGCTGTCATTTATTTGAAAGGAAGAGTTAGAGGGAGAGGTGGTACAGGAGATCTTAACGGTCACAGCAGCCAGGTCTGGGTCAGGCCAAAGCCCATGGGTGACCCAACCCAAGTACTTGGGCCATCTTGGTTCACTCCACAAATGGCTGCACGGCTGGGGATGGGCCAGGCTGCAGCTGAGATCCAGGAACTCCCTGGAAGTCTGCACATGGGTGGCAGATGGCGGTGGCTCCGCCTGCAGCACCACGATGCCCGCTGAGGATTTGGCCTGCATGTGGAAGTTAGGCTCCTGTGTCCCTTTGTCCTCCGCTAACCCCCAGAAGGCTGGTGGACTGTGCTCCTCCACCCTGGAGCTTTTTTTTTTTTTTTTTTTTTTTTTTTTTTTTTTTTTTTTTGACAGGCAGAGTGGACAGTGAGAGAGAGAGACAGAGAGAAAGGTCTTCCTTTGCCGTTGGTTCACCCTCCAATGGCCGCCACGGCTGGCGCGCTGCGGCCGGCGCACCGCGCTGATCCGATGGCAGGAGCCAGGAGCCAGGTGCTTTTCCTGGTCTCCCATGGGGTGCAGGGCCCAAGCACCTGGGCCATCCTCCACTGCACTCCCTGGCCACAGCAGAGGGCTGGCCTGGAAGAGGGGCAACCGGGACAGAATCCGGCGCCCCGACCGGGACTAGAACCCGGTGTGCCGGCGCCGCTAGGCGGAGGATTAGCCTAGTGAGCCGCGGCGCCGGCCCCACCCTGGAGCTTTAACGAGGATCCGCCACGGCCCACCGAGTGTTCTCTCAGGCGCACTTTCTGCCTTTGTGGACACTTGCTCTGGGTTGAACTTGCCCATCCAGGAAACGGGGGTGAGCTCCCTGCTGGTAGGAGAATCCCCGCCTCTCCCCTGAGCCGATGCTTGATGCCGCCCGACTGGGCAGCCCCTGTGGCTCAGTGTGTGTGCTGTCTGCCCTGGAGGAAGCTCAGAGCACTGTCATGCTGGCAGGAGGCAGCTCGCGCTGTCGATGCGTGCCCAGGGCTCACCCTTCCAGGAAAGGCTGCAGGTGCTGGGTTGGCGTGGCTCAGCATCCCCGCGTGGAGCCGCCGGCATGCACCCTAGCACCACTGGAGGCCGTCTCAGATGACAGCTCTGAGCTTTCACTGATGCCACTGAGAGTGACCTTGTGAGCAGGGCGGGGGAGGTGAGAGGAAGCTAGGCCCGGGGCTGGCTCCAGAGTGGAACAAGAGTCCGGAGGCAGCGGGAAGAGGGCTGTGTGAGGGGAGTGAGACGGGAGTGAGACGGGAGTAAGCGGGTGGACACGTGCAGAGGTTCTGTTTTATCCTCCCCCTCCCTCCAAGGCCAAGCAGCACACGTCGAATCTCTTCTGTGTGTAGTGCTGTGGTGGGAGAAACACTTCTTAACGCAGCAGCACTCGCTCAAAATCCAAGATGAAGTATTTGCTCACCAACATTCTGAGGACTTGTTGTTGTTATTATTATTATTTATTTGAAAAGCAGACTTAGAGATCTTGCATCCCCAATGGCTGCAGTGGCTGGCGCTGGGCCAGACCCAAGCCAAGAACCTGAAACTCCAAACAGGGTCTCAAACAAGGGTGGTAGAGGCCCAAATACTTGGGCTGTCTTCTGCTGCTTTCCCAGGTGCGTGAGCAGGCAGGTGGATTGGAAGTGGAGCAGCCAGGATTTGAACTGGCGCTCACGGGATGCCACCATTGCAGATGGCAGCTTAGCCCACCGCACCACCACACTGGCGAAGAGCACTCTTACATTTGCATAACTCTTGTTACTGTGAACACTGCACATTTGGGAAAGGCCCTAACTGTGCTTTTCAGCTGGGACATCAGACCGGCACTCTGATGTGGGGTGCTGGTGGTGCAGGTGGCCACGTGACCCTATGTGACACAGCGTCACCCCTCCAGGGCCTTCTAAGTGGTTCTGTGTCTGTGCAAGGATCTTGCTGTTTCCTTTTTTTTGGACAGGCAGAGTGGACAGTGAGAGAGACATACAGAGAGAAAGGTCTTCCTTCCGTTGGTTCACCCCTCAATGGCCGCTGTGGCCAGCGCACCGCGCTAATCTGAAGCCAGGAGCCAGGTGCTTCTCCTGGTCTCCCGTGCGGGTGCAGGGCCCAAGCACTTGGGCCATCCTCCACTGCACTCCCGGGCCACAGCAGAGAGCTGGCCTGGAAGAGGGGCAACCGGGACAGAATCCGGCGCCCCGACCGGGACTAGAACCCGGTGTGCCGGCGCTGCAAGGCGGAGGATTAGCCTAGTGAGCCGCGGCGCCGGCGGATCTTGCTGTTTCCATCAGAAAACTGTCCTTCCTGCAGCTGCCTTCTCCGTGGAGCCAGATAGGAATCCATGGACTCACGGGCTGGATCCTGCTCTGAGGCTGCGCTGCTGTCTGTGGTTCCCTTCAGGTGGCTGGCGACAGTTCCCCTTCTCGCTTCAGTGCCCCTCAGCAAATAGAACAGTCTGGCGTCAGGCCTCCCACTACTTCATGACCGGCGCCTGGAAACTGCCGAGCCCGCGTCGCTAGGGTCACTGTGCAGCCGTCTGTGCTCGGGTAAAGATAGCGGTGGTAGCTGTCTGCAGATGGCAGGCCCTCCCACCCCCCACCCCTCCCTGGTCGGCAGGTCCTGGGGCAGCCGAGCTGTGGCCACCTTCCCCACTGCACCGCAGATGTCCTTCTCTTCCACGTGCTGATAGGAAAAGGGTTTCTGTCGGACTCACCCACTGTGCGGACTGCGAGAGGACACTGTCGTCATTGACGTCAGGGTGACGGATGCAGGGCCGCCGCCAGTATGGAAGAGCAGTGACGTGAAGTTGAAGCCTGGCCCGCTGCGTCCCAAAGCCGCGTCATGCGACGCGATGTTTGTGTTTCGATGTTTAAGTTTGTACTTCCTGCCTCCACGTTGCTTTCTTAGAGCAATGCTGCATGGGTTTATTCTGTAGGATTTCTGTTTCCACAAACTGGAAATGTTTTCACTTTCCATGCAGATGCAGAGTTTGCAGGGTGGCCCGGAAGCCATTGCCCGCCTGGACCAGTTGGAAGCGGATTATTACGACCTGCAGCTTCAGTTGTATGAAGTGCAGTTTGAAATCCTCAAGTGTGAGGAGCTCCTGCTAACGGCTCAGCTGGAGAGCATCAAGCGGCTCATCTCCGGTAGGGTGTGCTCTACTGCCGGGCCCACGGGCTTGAGGGAGTGGGGAGGACACGCAGTGAGAGTCCTGACGTCAAAGAAGCCTGGGCACAGAGCTAGGAAATCAGACGCCGATCTGCAGGCTCAGCAGGGCGCCTCTGCAGAGTGGCTGCAGCCAGTCGACTGTGCAGGTGCAGTGGGCAGGGGTGTGGGGCGTGGCCACGCTCTGCGTGCATCTGCTCCGAGGGGCACTTCCTAGTGAGCCCGGCCCGACAAGGAGCTGGGGGGCGGGTGGCAGCTTGGCTGCGGACTGGGGAGCCGGTGCGCGGGTTTGAGCCCTGTTGCACCTGGTGCCCACCGAGCACCCAGAGTTAAGCACCGTCACCGCTGCTCTCCCCGGACAGAAAAGAGAGACGAAGTGGTGTACTACGACACGTACGAGAGCATGGAGGCCATGCTGGAGGAGGAGGAGCTGAGGGGGCAGAGGGAGGAGCTGCAGAAGCTGCAGCAGAAGGCGCGCCAGCTGGAAGCCCGCCGCGGCCGCGTCTGCGCCAAGAAAGCCTACCTCAGAAACAAAAAGGTACCCGCGCCGGGGCCCTGGCTTCCTCCCGCGCTCCGACTTCCTAGATGGTGCGTTCCCGGAGGTCTGATCCTGGCTGATGGCTGGACTACTCCTTTTGTCTTGTCTGCTGATCCAAACGCAGGCTTTGACCCTGGAGCCAGCGCCCGGGCCTGGCCCGTTCTGGGCTCCGCGTGCTGCCTCTTGGCTGTGAGGTCAGCGCTGCAGGCCCCAGGGAGTGGCCGCTTCGCTGCTCCTCGGCGCACCCTCCTGTTCCCCTGGACACCAGGGTCCCGCCCAGAGCCGGGGCCTGCGGGCCTGTTTGGCCTCACCATCTCTGTGAGGCAGGAGGGACGAAACGTGCTTCCTGGTGCAGCTGGTGCCCGCTGGTCAGCGCAGCCCCTCGGGGAGCAGTAGAGGCGCTCACAGACCAGGCGGAGTCTGCGAGGGTGAACACCGGGAAACCATGCGGTTCGGCTTCTGCCAGGCCTGCAGAGAGGCCCTGCGGGTGTGCAGGGGGAGGCGGGGAGTGGTGCTGGGGGCTCGGTCCAAGTTGTCCCGTCTGAGTAGAAACCACCAGTTTAATGGTGTTTAATGGTGTTGACAGTGATTAGGAACAGAACAAAAGACACTGCAGACTCCCACGGCACAGCCCGTGAGGGTTGTGTGCGCGCTCAGAGGGGCTGCGGCGAGCCAGCCGGCAGCCCCGTGCCCTCGCTAACCAGCCCGGGGGAGGTGCCCAGGGTGTGCTGAGCAGAGGGGAGGGCCTGTGGACATGGGAGTGGGAGCGATGGAGGGGTGTTGGCTGGAGGGCTTCATTTCCTCACCGCACTGGGAATGTGCACTGGGGTGGCAGAGGCGCACACGGCACGGGACGCACAGTGTGAGAAGTGTCCTTCCTTGAGGGAGAGAGGCTGTAGGCTTGGTGAATGAGGGGAAGGGAAGAGGGGGTCTTCTCCACTGGCTCCCGGGCTTCTAGGGTGGGAAGAGCATGCACAGGCGAGAGGTGACGAGCTGGGGGGGGTGTGCACGGACATCCAGGTGGAGGCGGCGGTGAGCAGGGCCCTGTGCCGCGAAGGAGGGTGGGGGCAGGGTGGCGGCCCAGCGGAGCGGCGCCCTCTGTGGTTCAGAGCTCAGCAGGGCGTCGTTGCTGGGCGTGAGTGTGGTGTGAGGAGGTGCCTGGAGGAAGGCACCCCGGGAACTATGTGGCGGAGCCTCCCAGGGCTGACTTGGAAGAAGCAGGAGAGGGGGCGTCCAGAAGGGGAGAGGGAGCATGGTCCACTCCGGGACACTGCATGTTTGCAGCGACGGGGCCTTGTGTTGGGAGTCTGGGGGAGAGTGGGGGACAAGATTCAGATTGCACTGGGGGCCGTGAGGTGAAGCCAAGGGGACGCAGAGGGAGCTGACTGCACCCAGGAAGGTGCCGAGCGGGTGAGCTGGTGTCCAGGGCTTGTGGGGCTGCTCCCTGAGTGACGGACCTCCTCCGCTGGTGTGCGTGTGAGTGGGGCGCGTTGTGAGGAAGCAGCCTGGGAGATGCTGCCGTTGGAGGTGGCCATGAACTGCAGAGGGACAGGGAGCAAAGGCAGTAAGTGCTAAAAAGAACAAAGCCCTTGAGAGACCTGCGTGGCACCATCTGCACAGCCACGCGTGGGCCTGCACCTGCCCCCGTCACCTCACTCGTGGCTTCAAGCTAATGCTTTGTGACTTCAGCAGGGCTATGGAAATAACGTCTTCTTATGTCCCAGCAGCCACGTGCAGTCCTTTTCAGCTCCGAGGCATGCAGCCAGAAAACCCAGGTCTCGTGACGCTTGTTAAACCCATCTGGGCAGTTTAGGCTCTCACCAGAGAGCTCCCAAGCGCAGGATGGCGCCCTGCTTCTGTGTGACTTCATTTAAGGAATGTACTGGGACTTACAGTGTTCTAGCCATAGACTGCTGTGCTAAAAAAGGACACTGGAGATTATCTGAGGACACCACTTTCCCCCACCTCACCCTCAGCACCTGCTACCAGATACATAACCAAATAAATAATAAATAGAAATCAGGAGGGCTAGGGGAGGCATTGCGTGTTGGGTGAGAGCGCTAGCAAAGTCAAGTGGGCGATGGGACGAGAGGCGGAGAGACGCTCGATACGACTGCACGCGCCTTCTGGCGGGCCTGGGCCCTCGGCGGGTGCCACGGCAGGAGTCCAGACGAAAGGCAAGGCGGCTCTGCTTCCCTAACAGGTGTTGTACGGTGAGCCTAAAGTGCATTAGGTACAGCTCAAGGTGGTGGTGCCCGTGTTACTTGTATTAAAGCACATTTTGTGTATTTATAGGAAATTTGTATTGCAAAACACAATGAAAAACTCCAGCAGCGCTTTCGGGGTGAGGAAGAGTGTGCAGCCCATCACGCCGTGCAGCTGGTAAGCCTGGACTCCGGGTTTTCTGTGACTGAAGGTAGCTAAAGTCTGCGGAGAAAGAGACACGTCTTAGAGTTAAATGTTGGCATAGTTTTCTTTTTATACAGAGGCAGTTTTTTGGCAAAATTGAAAGAGTACAGAGTCCCCACTCTGCGCGGAGCTCCCGGCACCACCTGCACGCTGGTCAGGATCCGCGTGAGCAGTGCTGCATTCTACGCGCCTCCTTCTGAGGGGCACTTTGCTGGGTTGGGACTCAGTAGTTTTACTGCCCTAAAATCCTTTGTTGCACCCGTTAACTCCTTCCTCTCCACAAGTCCCTGCCAAAAAGCCTGATCTTTTGGCTGTCCCCACAGTTGTGGCTTTAACAGCAAGTGTGTGGGTACTTCACAGGAGCTCTTGGGAAAATGGAATTAAAAGATGTTTATTTTGGTGCAAATAGTTTTCAAATTCATGTCGTTTTTTCATAATGTGCATCTCCTATGAGCTTTCTCAAGGCCTCACATCCAGCCGTAACCAGGCAGTGTATCTCCTGATCAGGTGGGCCTCGTTCACTTCTTCCCTCGAATGTGCAGGTTCGGCAGGTCCTTGGGGCGTGGCAGCTCATTCATTTCTAGCAGTAGGCAGGTGTACTGCAGTTAGTGCGTCTGTTCACCTGTAGAAAGACATCTTGGTTAAAATTCCAGCTGCTAGGTTTGCGGTCCAGCTCCCCACTAATGGCCTGGGAAAGCATTAGAGGATGGCCCAAGTGCTTGGCCCCTGCACCCACGTGGGAGACCAGCACAGAGTTTCTCCTGGCCCCTGGCTTCTATCTGGCCATTGTGTCCATCTGGGGAATGAACCCATTTAGAAGAAGTGGACCAAAGTAATGTGTTAATCTACCTTTATCTGAATTTCTCGGCTGGTGGATTGTTGGAAATGTAGATGTTATCTTTCTGTTTCACTAGTTTTCCCTGGAAGTCCTGCACATTAAATAAGTTAGATCCAGAAAGTTGATTTTAGTACTTGGTGTAAACTCTCTAAAACAAAACAGTTAAAGGTAATGTCAAGATTACTTTTGGGGCTGGTGCCGTGGCGCACTAGGTTAATCCTCCGCCTACGGCGGCGGCATCCCATATGGGCGCCAGTTCGAGTCCCAGTTGCTCCTCTCCCAGGCCAGCTCTCTGCTGTGGCCCGGGAGTGCAGTGGAGGATGGCCCAAGTGCTTGGGCTCTGCACCCCATGGGAGACCAAGAAGAAGCTCCTGGCTCCTGATCGGCCCAGCTCTGGCCATTGCAGCCATTTGGGGAGTAAACCAGTGGAAGGAAAACCTTTCTCTCTCTCTCTCTCACTGTCTGTAACTCTACCTGTCAAATATATAAATAAATAAAACAAGATTACTTTTTTTTTTTTTTAAAGATTTACTTACTTACTTGAAAGGCAGAGTTACAGAGAGGCAGAGGCAGAGAAAGAGAAAGAGGTCTTCCATCTACTGGTTGACTCCCCAAATGGCCGCAATGGGCAGAGCTGTGCCGATCCGAAGCCAGGAGCCAGAAGCTTCTTACATGTCTCCCACATGGGTACAGGGGTCCGAGCACTTGGGTCGTCTTCTGCTGCTTTCCCAGGCCATTAGCAAGTAGGTGGATCAGAAGTGGAGCAGCCAGGACTTGAACTTGTGCCCGTATGGGATGCTGGCACTGCAAGTGGCAGCTTTACCCACGACACCACAGCGCTGGCCCCTCTGAGGATGTAATTTTAACTCAAAGAAAATGAGTAGATCCATGTGGCTGCCCTAATGAAGGTCAGAACCTTTCCACCTTACTCCTGCTCCGAGAAGTATTTGTTACTTTTTGTATTTTGGAGTTGTCCTCGAAAACACTTTCAGATTATAAACCCCCCCTGCACCACTACCTCCCAACACACATAGTTCATGGCTAGGAGCCACACACACACACACACACACACAGTTCATGGAGCCACACACACACACACAGTTCATGGAGCCACACACACACACACGCACACACACACACACACACAGTTCATGACTAGGAGCCGGAACTGCTCACCTCCCACCTCTGCCTGGCATCTTCAGATTACAGTGAGACCAGGCTCTATGTATACTGTCTGCAGCTTTTCCAGATTGGAAGTGGAGCAGCTGGGACTCGAACCGGCATCCATGTGGGATGCCCGTGTAGCAGGCAGTGACTTCAGCCGCTGTGCCATGACGCTGGATCCTTGGGGCCGAGGTTACTGAGAGTGCACATGGCAGCTTTGTGTCTGCTCTTGCCGCAGAGCTCAGCTGTTCTTCTCCCTGGTTCGGGAGACCGCTGAGATTCTGTAGCACCTGGGGGTATTGCTGAGGGTGCCTGGCTCTGGTCTGCTGAGAAAGCGGGTCAGAGGTCTCCCTCAGTATGTGACGGCCACCATCCCCCTCTGCTGAACACGCTTTGGGGCCCACCCTGGAGTCGAACCGAGTACCTGCGTGGACTGGTAGTGATGAGAGGGGACTTTCTGTGTTGGAGTAGCCTTTTCCTTGGCGTTTCACTGTCGTCGATGAGATTTTACCATGCTATACGACTTTTTCTACCTCTTGATCTTTTTTTTTTTTTTTTTTTTTGGACAGGCAGAGTGGACAGTGAGAGAGACAGAGAAAGGTCTTCCTTTGCCGTTGGTTCACCCTCCAATGGCCGCCTGCGGCCGGTGCACCGCGCTGATCCACTGGCAGGAGCCAGGTGCTTCTCCTGGTCTCCCATGGGGTGCAGGGCCCAAGTACTTGGGCCATCCTCCACTGCACTCCCGGGCCACGGCAGAGAGCTGGCCTGGAAGAGGGGCAACCGGGACAGAATCTGGCACCCTGACCGGGACTAGAACCTGGTGTGCCGGCGCCGCAAGGCGGAGGATTAGCCTAGTGAGCCGCGGTGCCGGCCCTACCTCTTGATCTTAAAACATTTTCTTGCTTTTAATTCCTTGTACATAAACAAGATTTTTTTCCTGAATAAATTAGTGTCTTGATGTCTGTATGAATTCTGATCACACACCAGATGTTATAACATACCTTTCCCTGCTGTTTTTAAGATCCTTCTAATATGAGACGTTTTAATTAGTGCCTTGCAAAACAGTTCTCAGCCATTCTTTAAGCTCTTCCTGTGTTTATAAGAAGATCCGTGATCCCTAGAGGATGCACACAGAACTCACGGAGACGCACACCATAAGTGGTTACTTTTCATTGGACTCACGTGAGTCTGGAAGAGCTCTCCGGTTTCAGAAGCTTGCTAGGTGACAAGAAGCTGGTGTTGTGGCTTCAAAGGTTCCTTCAGCCGTACAGACTTGTGCTATGAGTGGTGAAGAAATATGGGCTTCTCCCTAACTCCTTTCCCCCACCTCTCAGTATACGGTCTTCAGAATGAAAAAATTAGCTTTTCTTTAAAAAAAAAAAAGAAAAACCAAATTTGTTCATTGGAAAGGCAGAGTGACGCAGACAGAGATCTTCCACCTGCATCTGCTTGTTCATGCCCAGATGGCAGTGACATGTGAGCCTGGGCCACGTTCCGCTGGCGTCCCAGGAACACCAGCAGGAAGTAGGACTGGAGCGGAGCGGGGGGCTTGAACCACCACCGTGAGAGCGGTCAGCCTGCTCTGCGGTACAGACCCCTCACCGGCTTTCTCGTTCTTCGCCTCGTGTTCATGATTCTCAGGGTTCTTGGGCTTCAGTTTTTCTTCCCGTGAAGCGCTTACTGCCAGTGTGTGTGGCCTCCCTCGCTGTGTTTGGGCTCTCCTTGGAGCGGTCTAGGTAGCCACGTGCTGAGTGGTGTGTTGGCAGCACTGGCCTGCATGGGGCATGCTCCCTCACCAAGGACAGCCTGGACAGGCACTCCTGCCATGGCTGCCCCATCCGTGCCCCTGGAGGTTCTGCCTGCACCTTTGCCTTTCTCAGTGTTGGGATGGGGCAGAGAGAAACCGGGCCCGTGCTGCCCGTTCCTCAGAGGGCTCTTCCGCCTGCCCCCCGTGCTGTCCGCAAAGCCCAGGTGGTTCGTGGGTCTGTGACAATGGGAGATGGCCACCCCCTCGGCAGCCTGCCCTTCGCTGCCGCCGAGAGGGGACAGTCACGTGAGAGAACCTGCTTGCTTCTCCTGTCTTCTGTTGAAGGGGTTCCAGCTTCTCCTGTGCCTTGTCCCTCACTCTGCTTTTGATCCCTGAGGAAATTGTGTGTTTTTTTTTTAATATTTTGAGAATTACGGAGTTTTTTTTAAAAAGATTTTGTTTATTTGAAAGAGTTACAGATGAGGTAGAGACAGAGAGAGAGGTCTTCTTCTATCCTCTGGTTCACTCCCCATTAGCCGCAGCGGCCAGAGCTGAGCTGATCCAGAGCTAGGAGCTTCTTCTGGGTCTCCCATGTGGGTGCAGGGCCCAAGCACTTGGGCCATCTTCTGCTCTCCCAGGCCAAGCAGAGAGCTGGATCAGAAGAGGAGCAGCCGGGACTGCAGGCAGCAGCTTTACCGGCTACGCCACACCACCAGTCCTGAAGATGAGTTTTCAGATCATTTGTATTAGTCAAAAATTGATTGCGTTTGTCAGGTACTCAAAATGCTGTGTGGCTTGAGGTTGTTGTTCCGTGTGAAGATAACATTTCCCTTCTTCCTGGTTGGTTTGCAGGAAGAGAGGAGGAGGCAGGGAGAGGAGCTAAGACTGCCTGCATTCCACACTGTAGTGGGTGGTTCCCTGCCCACCTGCACAGGGCCAGAATCATGGCCCTGGGAGCTCTGCCCAGCCATAGCCTCTCTTGCTTTGGGCTCTGCTTATTTGTGTCAGACTCTGAGTGGTGTGGATCCTGTCACAGGTGGTAGAGTGCTGTGTCCTGGTACTCTCGAGCTGGTGTGGATCCTGTCACAGGTACTCGAGTGCTGTGTCCTGGTACTCGAGCTGGTGTGGATCCTGTCACAGGTACTCGAGTGCTGTGTCCTGTCATAAGCACTAAGTTACGGTACGGCAGTTTTCTCAGAGATGAACCTTACCATGTATCTTTATTTTTCAACTTCCTGTCATCTTTCAGGTAAACCTTTCCTCCCCCTCACATTTTTCAAGAACCAGAGGACAGTGGTGTTCATATAATCACCCAAGGCCAATAGAGCAGTGACCTCTGTAGACCGTAAATACTGTCCAGCAAATACCTTATTGGAAACGGGAGTGAGGTGGGAGAAGAGAATGACGGAAGGTTGAATTTGAAAATCATATTGGGAAAAGAATGGGAGAGAGGTTAATTTCCATGTGAATTTGTCTGGTTTTGCAGGAGGCATTTCTAGTTTTTAAAAACAAAGCCGGGGGACGGTGCTGTAGTATAGGCCTCTGCCTGCAGCACCGGCATCCCATATGGGTGCTGGTTTGAGTCCCGGCCACTCCTCTTTCCATCTAGCTCCCTGCCAGTGTGCCTGGGACAGCAGCAGAGGATGGTACAAGTACTTGGGCCCCTGCACCCATGTGGGAGACCCAGAAGAGGCTCCAGGTTCCTGTCTTCAGCCTGGCACAGCCCCAATCATTGTGGCCATTTGGGGAGTGAACCAGCAGATGGAAGATTTCTCTCTAGGGCTGGCGCTGTGATACAGTGGATTAAAGACCTGGCCTATCGTGCCAGGATCCCATATGGGTGCTGGTTCGAGTCCCGATTCTCCACTTCTGATCCAGCTCCCTGCTAATGTGCCGTGGATAGCAGTGGAGGATGGTCCTTGGGCCCCTGCATCGCCATGGGAGACCCGTAAGAAGCTCCTGGCTTCTGATCGGTCCAGTCTGTTGTGACTGTGTAGGGAGTGAATCGGAGATGGGAGACCTCTCTCTTCCCCCTCTGTCTCTAACTCTTCTCTCTCAAATAACTCAAATCCTAAAAAAAAAAAGGCTGGAAAGCAGTAAACCAATTTGCCTGTCGTATGAAGTCTTGACACCATCTATTTTACCAAAGTTTATTCTGCCAGATGAGATTTACCATGTAGCCCTACAGCTGTTAAACAGCTTGCAGTCTGGGAAAAGTTAAGATCGGACGTGCTTCACATCCTTCCCCTCGCTGCCACTGCTGTTGCCTGAAACCGTGAGCGTGAATTACGGCAAGCTCCAAAGAGAAAACCAGACCCGCTTCTTTACACACACAGTGCTTGCCCGCAGGAAGCTTTGGTCAGTGCATCTCCTTCGATTCGCCCATCTTATATAGCAGGAGCCCTCAGCCTTTCTTCGTATCAATGACAAAGACAAATGGAGGACTTCCTAAAGGAATTGTTGTTAATTTTTACAGAAAAGGGAGAAATTACATGATGAAGAAGAAAGAAAAAGTGCCTGGGTCAGCCAGGAGAGGCAGAGGACGCTGGACAGGCTGCGCAGCTTCAAGCAGGTGAGGAGCGCGTGCCGGGCGTCGGAGGCTTTCTTCTCCGCCGTCTGAACGCACTGTAGGGAGCAGCACTGTGTCTGCACTGAGACGAGGCGTGCGTCCCGGGAGGGGCCTGCGCTCTGGCCTGGCTCCTCCGCAGGTCGTGCTCGTCCTGGGAGGGAGCAGCCGATGGCCCAAGTCGTGGGGACGTCGCCAGCCGGGCAGCCCCGGCCGCCGGCCTCTGCAGGTGTGGAGAGTGCTCACAGGCACTGTTACCCTTACGTAAATGAGCACAGACGCCGTGGCCACGCCTCCAGGGTCCCGGGACAGGGAAAGGGTTGTGGCCTCTGGAGCCTGGGCTCCTCCCGCAGTTCTTAGACGCAGCTAACTCACCTTCCACGCCCACCATGCGTGTGGGCTTGTAGGAGAGGCGTGCATGTGAGCCGTGTGAAGTTCAAGGGGCGGTGCACACCCGGCCCTGAGTGGGGCAGCCTCTTGAGGAGGAAGGGAGGGTGCTGCCCCCCCAAGACCTGGGCTCCTCTTCTCATAGGTAGGGTGGTGCCGAATTAAATCCTCAAAAGGGGCGGGGCTTGGACGGGGTTCACTGTGGTTGCCTCAGAAGTGTCCTGGCGTCTGTGCGTGGGTCTGTAGCACAGGTGGCGTCCATCATGGTAAGTGCTAAAAGATGGCAGCCGTGATCACTGCATTTCAGTACTTGAAAAAACTGAATCCCCTTTTCCTCACTATATTATAAAATAGAAATGTTAGCAGGAACTCTTTGCCATTGATGGTTTTATTTGTCTTTAATCTGTAGCCATTAGAAAGTAAGTTAGTCTAATAGTAGACTCTTAGCTGTCTGCACAACACCAGCATATGTGTGTTTAACTTTTTAAAAATGACTGATTTATTTGAAAGGCAGAGTAGCAGAGCGAGGGAAGGAGACAGGTCTTCCGTGACCGGATTCACTCCCCAAGTGAGCGCCCACCTACTTTACCAGGTGCACCCGCAGGGAGCCGGGGCGGAAGTGGAGCAGCCAGGACTTGAACCGATGCCATGGGGGACACAGGGGTTTCAGGCAGCGGTTTAACCTCTGCCTCACAACACCAGCCCCTTATGTCTTGTATCTTACATGAGATGTTGGCAGTTTTATCTGTTCTAGATCTTTGAAGTCCACGTGGTTGTTGTGAACAGTTAACAGAGTGGAGACAAGACCTTAGTGAGGGACTTGGTGAGCAGAGTGTATGGAGTTGGTGATGGCTGGTTGGGAAGGCGAGGCATTGGTGTCCAGTCTGTCCTCTCTGAAAACCGCACAGGGGCCAGAACGCTGCTGTGGGTGAGACAGGAAGTGCGCAGGTTTGTTCACACGGCGCCCTCCTGTCACTCAGCCGCCATCCCTGTGTTTCAGAAGTACCCTGGGCAAGTCACGCTGAAGTCCACCAGGCTGCGGCTGGCTCACGCCCGCAGGAGGGGCACGCCCAGCGCGGGGCTCCGCGAGGACACGGGCACCCCGGGCCCGGTGGGGACTGCAGAGGAGCAGGCTGGGGCGCATGCGCAGCCCCGCAGCCTCCCGGACACGCCCCCAGCACCACTTGAAGCCACCTCATTACCTCTCAGCACAGAGACCTCGACCTCGGAACCGCCTCCCGCCCTCTCCCTCCCACTGCTGGACGGAGGCCCCCAGCCACCTCCCAGCGCCCTAGATCCGCTCCCACCCCCTCTCCACACCTACGAGGAAGGTACCTGACGGTAATATGCTGATTGCTCAAAGCCAGAGACAGCACCCCGGGGCCTCCGGAGGAAGGGCCGCCCGCGAGGGAGCAGCCCGGCGAGCGGGGCCCGGGGCCCACCAGCGCGCCCTCCGCGCGCCTCCTGGACAGCAGCCAGCTGCTGAGCGCCCGCAGGAAGCTCCGCAAGACGGCCGAGGGCTCGCCCCGGCGCAGAGGTGAGGCCCGGGGGTGTTCGGGCAGCAGCAGTACTCGCACAGAACAGGCGGCCTCTGGTCAGGGCTGCCACAGCGTCCTGTGTGTGCCCCTAGAAAGAGGCAGTGATGGGCTAGCGGGCGCTAAGGGCCAGTCCCGGCCTGAGAGACGGCCTGGGTGTGACCCTGGCCTCCCGGGAGCTCAGAACCTGCCTGGGCTGAGGGTCTGGCTGCTGGAGCATCGCTCGTCCAGACCCCGGGGCCTTTCAGCCTGGGATTATCTGCGTGTACCAGTGAGGGGAGTTGGCGCGGAGCCGCGGGTCTGAGTACAGCACCCACACCCCCGCCCACAGACCCAAGGCCGCCGTGGGTCAGGTTCCCAGTGTGCTGGGGTTCATTCCTCTGTAGAGCTTAGCCTGGGAGCCCACAGACACAGATGAAAACACCCAAAACCCTTCCTCCTGGGGTTTGGTATTTCTGTTAACATCGTCAGCTCCAGTCGCATCCACAAGTTGTGATCCTTTTTCATGGCCAAAAAAGGTGTGTTTTTTCCGTGGTGTGTTTGTACCACCGTGCACTGGGGTTGCCGCCAGTCGGTGTCGGGAGTGGTGCTGCAGTGCACACGGGGCAGACGGATTCCGTGTCCCGTGGATGCAGCCAGGAGTGGGGTTCCTGGATGAAACAGTACTTGTCCTTTTTAGGGATGTCTCTCGTTCTCCACAGTGGCCGCCGACCGGGAGGGTTCTCTGTCCCTGCACTTCCCTGGTGAAGTGAGGTGGGCTGTGCGTTTCCCGGCTGGCTGATTTTATGTTTGCCTTTGGGAGAGGACGCTTTAGATCGGCACATTTTCATTGGGTTTTTTGAAGCAGTTTTTGCCTTTGAGCTCTTCGGGCTCCTTTCTATGTGGAACTTCTCATTCGCTGGCGTCATGTGAGCTCTCAACAAAGTGTCAGAGTTTAGACTTCGGGATTAGGGAGGCTCAGCCCACAAAGCAATCCGCGTATCCTGTTTGTTTATTTTTAAATTTATTTGACAGGTAGAGTTACAGACAGTGAAAGAGAGAGAGACAGAGAGAAAGGTCTTCCTTTGCCGTTGGTTCACCCTCCAATGGCCGCTGTGGCTGGCGCACTGCGCTGATCCGATGGCAGGAGCCAGGTGCTTCTCCTGGTCTCCCATGGGGTGCAGGGCCCAAGCACTTGGGCCATCCTCCACCGCACTCCCGGGCCACAGCAGAGAGCTGGCCTGGAAGAGGGGCAGCTGGGATTAGAACCCGGCACCCATATTGGATGCTGGTGCCACAGGCGGAGGATTAACCAAGTGTGCCACGGCGCCAGCCCGCATCCTGTTTATTTTGAGGCAGTTCTGATAATAATCTGAGTTCCTGTTTACAACAACTGGGTGCTGAAAGCACAGCCAGCGTCATGAACCAGTGGGCTCAGTGAGAGTAAGAAACCTCAGTGGGAGCACCCAGCATAGCCGCCATCGCGCCCAGGCTGAGAGCCAGCGAGCGCGCGCCCTCCCCGCCCCCGGCAGGCCGCCCCGCCTCGCCCCGCCCTCACGGTCGCTGTTGGTCTCTGCCCAGTGAGCTCGCCCATGGACGAGGTGCTGGCCTCCCTGAAGCGCGGCAGCTTCCACCTGCGGAAGGTGGAGCAGCGGCCCCCGGCGCCATTCCCCGACGAGGACGACGGCAACAACATCCTGGCGCAGATCCGGAAAGGGGTGAAGCTGAAGAAGGTGCAGGGGGGCGTGCTGCGGGAGCCCTTCACGCTGCTGCCCGACGCCGACCCCCTGACGCGCAGCATCCACGAGGCCCTGAGGAGGATCAAAGAGGCGTCCCCCGAGTCGGAGGACGAGGAGGAGGCCCTGCCCGGCGCCGACTGGGAGAACTGACAGGTGCGCGGGGCTGTGTGCAGGCAGGCGGGCTCCGGGGGGTTGGGGAGCCTGGGGCCTGCTGCTCTCACACGGCACACTTCTGGTCCCTCTCCCAAACCCCTAACCCTCTTGTTAGGTTTCTTTCTCAAATAAGTCAAGGCAGAGCCACACACGAGGTGGGAGAGAGAGATCTCCACCACCGTTCACTCCCCCACAGGGCTGCGAGGGCAATGGCTGGGCCAGGCCGGAGCCGGGAGTGTCTTCCGGGTCTCCCACATGGGTGCAGGGGCCCAGGGCCTTGGGCCATCTTCTACTGCTTCCCCGGCCACAGCAGAGAGCTGGGTCAGAAGTGGCGCAGCCGGGACCTGAACCGGCGCCCGTGCGGGATGCTCTGACAGCGCCAGCCCCTGTGATTGTTTCTGGACACTTGGGCAGCAGGCACACACTTTGTAAGGACTACTGCAGCCTTGCCGGCCCGTACCTGGGCGGAGGGCTTCTCCAGCGGCGATGGGCCCGTCACGCAGAGGTGCGTGCCCACAAAGGCGTAGGAAACCCTTACATGGCGTGCTTTCCTCCACCGCTGCCGAGGCCCATCACTGCCACGTGTGCAGGCACACGTGGGCCGCCGCGAGGTCCTGCCTGCCTGGAGCCCGCGGGTCACACAGGTGGCACTTCGCTGAGAAGAGTGGGAGGGAGCCGGTGCCAGTCAGGTGCCCTGCAGCGGTGCTGAGGCCGCGTGTGGCACTGTTGCTGGCTGGCACGGGCAGCCTGGCCAGTGTCCACGCCGACAGCCTGGGAGCTCACGGCACATGCGGCCTCCTGGCCTTGAGCGGATGCAGTGTGCACACAGGCGGGCCATGGCCAGCTCTGGGTCCTGATGCCGTGGGGAAAGGGACTGTGCTGTCATCACAGTCACTGGAAGCAGCTTCCTTGTCTGAGCGTGTGTCCTTAGGAAGACGCTCCTGCATCGTCTCCCCACACTGGCGGCCCCAGCATCTGCGTGGAGCAGGAGCACCGTGGCCTGGCGGCACTGCCGTCTTGGCCTGCGGCAGCCCCTTCCACAGCACCAGTGTGCCGCTGTGTCCTGCTGTGCGGAGAGGCCCGAGTATGCTGGTGGGGCGTTGGCTGCACCTGCGTAGGAACCGGGGCCTCGGCGTGCTGTGTGGGCGTTAGCAGTGCTCCTGTGTGGGAACCCGGGCCTCGGCATGCTGCGTGTGTGTGTGGGGGGGTGTTAGCAGTGCCCCTGCGTGGGAACCGGGGCTGCGGCGTGCTGTGTGGGCATTAGCAGTGCCCCTGCGTGGGACCTGAACACCAGAGCCTCGGGCCAGTCTCCCAGGAACATGTGTGATGGCCGTCGCTTCCTGTCATGTTGTCTGTTGCTGCCCGGAGCTCCTTGGTTTGCTGCTTAGCCGCAGCCTGGCCCTGGTCACGTTTTATTTGTCGTGATACAGCCAAATATAATCAGAATAAAAAAAATTCTGTCGTTTGCTTTTGTGTGCTGTGTCCCCAGCATCTCGGGTGTGTTGTACACTTCTTCATAGTTCATCTCATCTCAGATGGTAACTGTCGAATGGCTAAAGTGAAACAGTACAACTTTAATGAAACAATTTGATATTTCAGTTTTCAATTAGACTGAGATTTGAGCTCTGCAGTTGCAGTCTGATTTTATCCAATGAGCTCGCTGCAGGGACACACTCCTGCCCCCGAGGCTGAGCGCCGGCCCTCCAGGTTGGTGTGGCGGATGCTGATGCTTCGGCTCTGACCAGGAGCCCCCAGGCGGCCTCCCTGTGGGCCGTCACCTGCTGCCTCCTAGGGTGAGCGCTAGCAGGAGGCTCGGGCAGGCATCAGCGTGACGCAGGGCGTGTGGGCCGCGGGCTCCTGCACCTGTCTGCTACGTTTCGAAGGTGTAAGTAGTCGTTCTTACGTGGCTGGCAGCTTACAGGACAACTGGCTCAGACGAAATTTACTCTTCGTGTAGAGTTCTGACGTGAAATGCTCAAGTATGAGACATCTCTAACATCAAAACCAGTTTCTAGGTCACTCTGTGTTCATGTCTGCCGTCGTGTGAACACACACACATTCCCTAAGAACACCCTGTGTGCCGTGTTGTGAATGGGAAGACAGCCGTGCTCCTCCGGGTGTTGGAGGGTGAGCGGGTGCGAGTTAGACACGCTGTCTTCTTCTAACGTTGTCTTCTGTTTTCCTTGTAAACAGGTGACTTTCCCAGAAAAGGAAGACACCCGCAGGCGAAGGTGTGTTCTGAATCTTCGGGAAAACGAGTTTGTGCTCCCGGCTCGGCCTCCCTTAGCTCCAGAGAGCGCTGTCCTGGGCTGAGACAGGACCCACGCCGGCGCGTCTCGCACAGCAGAGGAAGGCCTGGACGTTCCGCGCCTTCCCCCCCGCCCCCCACCCGGCGCCGGGAGCGCACTGGGTGGTCAGCAGGATTGGGACCACTGGGGGTCCCGGCCACACTTGGCTGCTGCCCCCTCGGCTCAGAGCCACTCAGCACGGGCCGCAGCAGCCCTCCCCGGAGAGCGGACGGGGACGCCCGTGAAGCTGCAGCGGACCCCCACGCGTGGGTGCTCCTCGAGGGCCACAGTCTCCACTTTGTAAGCTTTTGAAGTCTAGAAACTTCCTTTTCATAGCTCTTTATAGCACTTGGATCTGACGTGCATCTTGTCGGAGAAGCAATACCGTCGCGCTCTGAAGCGTCTGTCCTCTGTCTCTGAACTGTCGCTTGGTGACGTCACGCCTGACTCGCTGCGGTCGGGTTCAGTGGGGCCGCGCCTCGCGTTGGAGCAGGCACCAGTCCGCGCTTGGGTGTCCTGCTCCGTGCACACAGGCAGACCAGCCTCGGGCCAGCATTTCACTGTGCCAGAGGCTGTGGACGGATTGCAGAAGGAGCCGCCGTCACTGTCGCCCAGGCTCGAAGCTGTCCAGGCCCGGGGGCGGGCGTGGCCGTGCGCGGGACCGCGGGGCTGGCCTGAGCTGTTTTCTCACTCTGATTTCACCTGGAGGAAACTACCCAAGTATACAGTGCAGAATCCCCGGGCTTCCTGGTCTGGTCTGCTCGGTGGGCGAGAGCAGAGCCCAGCCCGCCCTCCTGCAGCGGCCCCGCCCCCTCCCCAGTCAGTTCTGCCCCCACAGGACCGCGGTCACTGCAGGTCCCAAAGCACAGGGGCTGCCAGCCGCGGGGCAGTGCCCAGGGCAGAGCTGCCTGTAGGACGGGCACGCTGCCCTGCGCCAGTGGTTCCTGTCCACGCCGCTGCCTGCTCACGCGCAGACTTGCCAGTCCGCTCGCAGTGGACAGTGTGCAAGGAAGCAGGTAGATGACTTGGAGCGGTTTCGAGGTCGGCCCGCTCAGCGTCCCAGACACTGCTCTGTGCCGGCGGAGAGCCCGCCTGGCGTCCTGGCACAGTGCGGGCTCTGCCCCCGCCGTCACTTCACAGGCTCGCAGGGCGGGGGCGGCACAGACCAATCACCCCGGGGGTCCTGCTGGAGGACGAGCAGCCTGCGCTGGGGGACCCCGGGCGCGGCTCTGCCTCCCCCCGCAGGGGCTTCCCGCACGGCCACTTCCTGCCTGCAGAGCGGACCAGGGCAGCAGTGTCTGTCAGCAAGAGGCGTGGCCCTTTGCCGCACTGTGCGGTCAGCTGTACAGCGCCCTCGGGCCGTAGCCACGTGCACTGCGCGCGCCCGGCTGTTCCTCCACCACACGCCGCGGTCCGGGGTCCGCTGTCAGGCGCCTGGGGTTGGGGCACTGCGCCAGGTGGCCGGAGAGCATTTCCAGGTGTCCCGGGCACCCAGCAGGCGCCTGGAGTTCTACCCAGCTCTCGCACCGAATGTCTAAACATCGTTTCCCACGCGCGGCCGGGCAGAGGAAGCCGGGCCGGTGACACGGGGCGCCGGCGCGGCCCCTCCTGCTGCGCTCACCCGGCGCGGTGGCGTTTTAACCTATGGATATCATGCACCCTACACGATCAGGTAACCAAATTATTTCAAGGCAGGAGCGAGTCGGGATTCGGGGAGAGAGAGAACACGAGGCTTTTGCCCCCTGCGGCACAGGTGTTTTCTCTAGAATGTTCTGTGCTGCCCGCGGTAACTGTACGACCTGGGGTCTGTAGAACTGACAGTTCCACACCTCCCCACGCTTGCCCCGGCAGGTGCACGGACAGGAAATAGCTGAGGCTCCGCCCAGTATTGTGCGAATGTCCTCGCGCCCTCCCAAAGCAGAGGGACCGGCGTGCGGGACCCGCGCCCTCCTCCCGCGTGGTGGTCCTGGCGGACTCCACGGAGAGGGAGCCCCTCCCCCTCCCACGGTCGGTCTTCCCTGTGACCCGGGAGGGGGTGAGGGGGGACATGCCGCCGTCCGCTGGGACTTGCGGTCCCCCCGCGTCTCCAGCTTCGCCCTGGTAAAACCGTGACAAGCAGCAGGCGCGAGAGGGAGGCTGCGGGGCGTCTTCCGTGGAAACGGACGGCACTCGAGCCGTGCGGGTGAGTGGGGGCTGCGGGGCCGCCGGCCGCGCGCATCTCCAGTAGCGCTCGGCTCTCACTGAAGTACTGAGAAGTGCAAAGGAAAACAGCGGGCACTGGAGCAATGCGGCGCACCCCGGTGAGCGCGGACTGTTGCCTTCGGCCCCCAGCGCGGCGCCGCAGCACTGTGCGACTGTACCGCTCTGTAGTTGTGTGTTACACTCGACTTCCGCGTTAGTTCCTGTACACCGAGCGCACGGGCACGCCGCCTACCAACATACAGTTTTGGTGCTTAACAATCTTCCTTTTCTTCAATAAAGATATTTATTTGAATTAACACAGGTGGCTCGGTGGCCGCAGTTCTGGTGGGCTCGTCCCGGTGCTTTCTGGACAGCGGGGGTGGGCGGGGGCGGCTGCAGGTACAGTGTGAGTTACACCGCACGGAAACGCTTTTGTTTAATCAAGTCCCTCGATGGGCTGCTTCTAGACAGCTGCTCCGTGGGACTCGGCACCACAGCATGTGCCGTGCGTCAGGGAGGGGGCCCACGGCGGTGGTCCTGCGGAGAGGCCCTGGCTCCCAGCGCTGTGGGCCCTAAGATGCGGTTTCCTGGGTGACCGCCTGTCCAGGGAGTGGAGTAAGGGCGTCGCCTCCCGCTGGTACCTAAAGGAACTGGGGCACGCTCGGCAGAAAATACAAGTTAAAGAGTTTTATTTGAGAGGTAGTTACAGAGGGAGAGACAGATCTTCCATCCACTAGTTCACCAACCAAATGGCCACAACAGCTGGAGCTGGGCCGATCCAAAGCCAGGAGCTTCTTCCAGGTCTCCCACGTGGGTTGGGCCATCTTCCACTGCGTTCCCAGGTGCACTGGCAGGGAGCGGGACTGGAAGTGGAGCAGCCGGGACTTGAACCAGTGACCATATGGCATGCCCACACTGCAGGCCCTGGCCCCCACGCGTAGTTTTTTCATGCTGGAACTTCCATGAACACGTTGGAGACCCAGACACATTTGAAGTGCACTCAAGTCTTCGTGGCACATCCTGAATACGGCCTATTACTCCTTTAGACAAGAAGCCAGAATGACGCACAGAGAGCCTTAGAAGCAAAAGCCTCCGCGACTACATACTGCTGAAGCGTTCTGAAAAATCAACACGTGCAGACTTTTTCTTAAGACACGGGGGGTCGTGGCACAGTGGGTTACACTGCTGCCATCCATAGGGGGCTCCCCTTCCAATAAAGCTCCTTCCAGTGACCCTGGGAAAGCAGGGAGGATGGTGCAGTCCCTGAGCCTCCACCTGACCCGGATGAGCTCCTGGCTCCTGGCTTCAGCCTGGCCCACCCCTACGGACGAGGCTATTCAGGGAGTGAGCCAGCAGGTGGACTCTTCCCCCACCATCCCACCCCCTTTCTGTAATCCTCTTTGAAATGAATCTTTCCTGGTGGGCGGGACGACCAGGGGAGGGAGGCAGGCATTGGCCCCCGCAGTCCACAACGGAGTGCCTGTGTGCAGGTGCACGGGCTGCCTGGGAGGCCGCAGTAGGGGAGCTGCCTCTCACCTAAGTGAAGCAAAATGGTTCGTTCGTTAGAGGCCCTGGGGACTCCCGATTCGGTCACACGCACGAACTTGGTGTTACTCGATAGGGCGCATTTTAAATAAGCCTTTACCTTCCTGCTTGGTCTTTGTAGAAGGAACGGGGTGCGACTGAAAAATGAAGAAAAAATCCAGCAGTTCCAGAAAGATGAGGCACAGTGAGGAGTGGACCGGGTGGTTTGAAACTCCGTTTAGGATCGGCGCTGTGGTGAAGCTCATGCCCATGGCACTGGCATCTGGCAGTCCAGCTCCCCCGACCCAGCTCCCTGCCGATGTGCCTGGGAAAGCAGAAGGTGGCCCAAGGGCTTGGTCCTCTGCATCCCAGCGGGAGACCCAGAAGAAGCTCCTGGCTTCAGATGGGATCGGCCCAGCCCTGGCCACTGTGGCCATTTGGGGAGTTCACCAGTGGGTGGAAGATCTTTGTGGAACTCTGCCTTTCAAATATATAAAATAGGAATTTCAGACCATCCAACCAACATGGTTTTCTGGCATCCTTGCAAAGCCCTCCCGTGGAACAGGGCAACAGGAGGGCAGCGCCCCTAAGACCCAAGGCGTGGCTGGTGCCCGGCCTGCACCCTGCAACGTGGGGGTGGGGACGGGTGGGAAGGGGAGCAAGCGAGACAAGCAGGAGACCCCACCTGCTGCCCTCGCCCACTGCAAGGCACCAGGAAGGCTCGGACTCCGGAGCCCAGATCCCGAGCTCCGGGTGCTGAGCACTCGGGAGACTACGGGCGTCTTCCTTCAGGAGGCCCCCGGGATCCCGGCCTCTCCCTGGCCCTTGACCAAGCCGTGTGTGTGTGTGTGTGTGTGTGTGTGGCCAGCCCCTCCCTGCGGAGTGACAGCAGCTGACCCACACACGAAAACCCCTCGCCAGTTGACCAGAAACGTCAGGCGCTAGACGGCATCTGCAGGCCTAGTGGGGCCTGAGAAACCTGAGCCGCAGGGGCGCTCGGGAGGAGGGACTTACCCAGAGAAACTGCAGCTGATGCTCAGGACAGAGACCCCGGCAACCCGGACATCCCCAGCGTGGGCGGCGACGGGGCAGGGCCCAGAAGGAGCGCAGGGGAGTCCATGAGTGCTTCCGGGGCGTGAGAAAGGAGGGAGAGGCCAGGCACTACAGCCACGTGCGACCAGCAGCAGCCAAGGGCGGGCGCTCTAACAGCAGCTGTCGTCCCAGCAGGTAAACAGAAGGCTGCAAATAAACGAAACGCAGAGGAGGAAGCTATGAATCCGGTGCCCAAAGGCAGGCACAACCCACCACGTGGGGACGGCTGGGGGACGAGGCCGTGGCGGGGACCCACCCTGTCACTCACAGGACAGCCACGTCTCTGGGCCACGGAGGGTTTTCTAGAACGTTCCTGCCTGCCTCACCCCTACAGAGATCCAAGCAGCCCGCAGCTGAGTCAGCAGCTCTGTCACCCGCCTGCCCCACAGCCAGGACCCCATTCCCAGCACCCACGGCCGCCCCCAGGACACCACTGCGGACACACAGACGGCCTGCGCTCCACCCTCACGCTGGGCACCCAGGCTCCACCCGTGCAGTAGCCACCATGCCCGAGACAGACGGCGTGTGCTGCAGTCAGGGGAGGGCCGAGAACCCTGGCAGAGCTGTCAGCCCCTGGGGGTGCAGGGCGGCCCCCACAAACCGGAGGCCCGGAGTCAGCACCCCAGCCATCTGGGAGACCTGCACAGCGGGCGGCCCACAGCTGGGCACACCGCTCCGCGACACGGCTGTCAGTTCTGCCTTGCCCCGACGCCCCAGCGCGGCTGTGATCTGGCTGTGCAGACGTGCGGCCCACAAGGGCGTCCTGCCCAGGCCCGGGCCTGCCCAACCGTGGTCCGAGACCTAGAGCCGCGTGGGCTGAGCGTCCACTGTTTCCAGAAAGGCCGAATTCGCTGGCGTGACCGACTCCCCTTGGACCAGGATGGGCGGTGAGGACAAGTGCTCTACATAAGATGCCTGCTATGGCCACAGCCAGCTCACAGCTGTGACATCAGGAGGCTCCCACCCCACAGGGATCCCACGCCACTTCTGCAAATGCAAAATGGAATGGAATTGGGGGCCAGCACTGTGGTGCAGCAGGTGAAGCCACTGCTAGCAGGCTGGCATCCCATGTGGGCGCTCGTTCAGGTCCTGGCTGCTCCACTTCCGATCCAGCTCTCTGCTGTGGCCTGGGAAAGCAGTGGAAGATGGCCCAAGTGCTTGGGACCCTGCACCCACCTGGGAGACCCAGAAGAAGCTCCTGGCTCCTGGCTTCGGATCAGCTCAGGCCCAGCCATTGTGGCCATTTGGGGAGTGGGGAGTGAACGAGCAGATGGAAACATCTGTCTGCCTCTCTTACTCTGCCTTTTGAATAAATTAAAAAAAAAAATGGAACTTGAACATGGTCATTTCCACCTTGCTGTGGGCTTTCCAAGTCCCACAGTGGTTGTCAGCCGGCACCAACTCACGAGGCCTGGGGCCCCGGTTCACAGGGGCGCTCCGAGTGCTCACTGCCGTCTCCCCAGGGCCCAGCCGGGCTGCGGCATCTTCAGGGAGCCTGCAGCCGGATCTGCGCTCAAGGCCTCGGGCTGCACCTGGCCAGCCCGTGCAGAGCGCGCCCAGAGCCCTGGCATCCGTTCTCTGGGGCCATCCAAGCACCTGCTCTGGGGTCTGTCCCGAGGAGAAGCCCTCCCTGATGATGCCTACCCCACTCTGTTTCCCTTCAGCACCATCTTCAAGAATCTGACCTCTAGGGCTGGCGCTGTGGTGCCCGAGCCGGCAAGTCGTGCTTGGGCTGCCCACAGCCCCAGTCGGAGCACCCATCCAGCTCCCTAATGTGCCCGGGAGGGCGGATGATGGTTCCAGTGCTCGGGCCCCATCGAACACGGGGGAGACCTGGATGGGGTTCCAGGGTCCCAGCTGTATGGCCATTTGGGGGGGTGAAGCAGTGGATAGGTCATCCCTTAGCGCTCTGCCCTTCAGGTAAATACACAAATCTATGTTTTTAGACTCTTTTTGAAAGGCAGAGTTAGAGCTCTTCTATCTGCTCGTTCGCTGCCAGGATGGCCCAGGAACACCATCTGGCTCTCCCACGTGGGCGCAGGGGCCCAACCACAGGGCTCTCCCACGTGGGCGCAGGGGCCCAACCACAGGGCTCTCCCACGTGGGCGCAGGGGCCCAACCACAGGGCTCTCCCACGTGGGCGCAGGGGCCCAACCCTTGGGTCATCGCCCCCTGCTTTCCCAGGCACGTTAGGAGGGAGCTGGATGAGAGGTGGAGCAGCTGGGACTCGAACCGGTGCTCACGTGGGGTCCTAGCGTCACAGATGGCGGCTTATCCCGCTACCCCACAACAGTGGTCCCAACAGAGTTTAAATTAAAACAAATCTTGAAGGCGGGAGGCTCGTAAGTAGAGAACCAACTGTTTCATTACTGCACGAACACCAAACCCTGAAGGTGTGCCAGACACCCAACCGCGGTGGGGAAGAGAAAGGTAGAGCAATGCCAAGGCAGGTGCATGACCTCGCCTGCCTGTGTTACTCTGCTGTTCATCACTGCCAGCTGCCCGCAGCCCACCCGGACGGCCACAATCCAGCAAGAAATGCCCCGTAGCCCACCTGGACGGCCACAATCCAGCAAGAAATGTCCCGTAGCCCACCTGGACTGCCACAATCCAGGAAGAAATGTCCTGTAGCCCACCTGGACTGCCACAATCCAGGAAGAAATGTCCCGTAGCCCACCTGGACTGCCACAACCCATGAAGAAATGTCCCGTAGCCCACCTGGACTGCCACAACCCATGAAGAAATGTCCCGTAGCCCACCTGGACTGCCACAATCCAGGAAGAAATGTCCCGTAGCCCACCTGGACTGCCACAACCCATGAAGAAATGTCCTGTAGCCCACCTGGACTGCCACAATCCAGCAAGAAATGTCCCGTAGCCCACCTGGACTGCCACAATGCAGGAAGAAATGTCCCGTAGCCCACCTGGACTGCCACAATGCAGGAAGAAATGTCCCGTAGCCCACCTGGACTGCCACAACCCATGAAGAAATGTCCCGTAGCCCACCTGGACTGCCACAACCCATGAAGAAATGTCCCGTAGCCCACCTGGACTGCCACAATGCAGGAAGAAATGTCCCGTAGCCCACCTGGACTGCCACAATCCAGGAAGAAATGTCCCGTAGCCCACCTGGACTGCCACAACCCATGAAGAAATGTCCCGTAGCCCACCTGGACGGCCACAATCCAGGAAGAAATGTCCCGTAGCCCACCTGGACTGCCACAATCCAGGAAGAAATGTCCCGTAGCCCACCTGGACTGCCACAATCCAGGAAGAAATGTCCCGTAGCCCACCTGGACTGCCACAATCCAGGAAGAAATGTCCCGTAGCCCACCTGGACTGCCACAATCCAGGAAGAAATGTCCCGTAGCCCACCTGGACTGCCACAATCCAGGAAGAAATGTCCCGTAGCCCACCTGGACTGCCACAATCCATGAAGAAATGTCCCGTAGCCCACCTGGACTGCCACAATCCAGGAAGAAATGTCCCGTAGCCCACCTGGGCTGCCACATCCAGGAAGAGTCTGCTGGCAGTCTTTGTTGTTTCTGATGTCGCTGGTTTTTGCTTTTAAAGATTTATTTACTCATGTGAAGGGCAGAGGTACAGAGAGGCAGGGAGAGAGGCCTTCCATCTGCTGGTTCACTGCCCAGTGGCCAGCAGAGCCAGGGCTGGGCCAGGCTGAAGCCAGGAGCCAGGAGCTTCTTCCAGGGCTCCCTTGCGAGCGCAGGGGCCCAGGCACCTGGGCCGTCCTCTGCTGCTTGCCCAGGCTGTCAGCGCTCGATGGGAGTGGAGCAGCTGGGACACGTCTGGGACGCTGGCGTCACCGGAGGCCCAGCACAGGCCCCACTGGCATCTGGCCTTGGCACAATTTTTCCCAGTTTTTTGTCTCCATGTCAATCAACCATGTTTCTACTCTTCTTCAAGGAGGTCAGTGCCTTCCACGACCTCTGGGAGGGCGAGAGCTGCCCAGGACACGAGACATCCGATCTGGAACTCGTCCATGCCGCCTGCAGGGGCCCTGCGGCTCGCTGGCCTCCAGCACCGGAGTCTTCCAGGGGGATCGACTCCTGTCCCTCTCAGTTCCAACACCCCTCCTCCATGAGCGTGGCCAGCTCCCACGGCTCCTCCCCTTCACAACGGCACTGCTATCTGCAGCTCTTTAAAAAGAAAAGTTTACTTGTTACAAAGAGCCCTGGAGAGGGGATCTTCCATCTGCTGGTTCACTGCCCAGATGTCTACAACAGGCAGGGCTGGGCCAGGCTGAAGCCCGGACCTCCCCGTGGGCAGCAGGGACCCAAGCACTTGGGCCGTCGCCAGCTGCCTCCCTGCTGCACTGGCGGGGAGTGACAGGAGGCAGAGGCAGGACCCCGGGCACTCCGACCGGCTGCAGCTCCTGGCTACCACGTGCCCTCCGCTCACTGGACCGTACGCTGCTAAGAGGCCGCACCGTCCTCCAGCGTCCCCTCCCACTGCCCAGCCTCGTGGCCCTGAAGGTGCTCACGGGATGGTTCGCTGGACCGAAAGCCGGCGTCGGAGCGGGGGCCTCGCCTGGCTGCCTCTCAGCTCAGGCGTCTCCACACCGCGCTTCCTTCCCGTCTGCCTCGGCTGGGAGGTGCAGCGGCTGCGGTGTTCCGCCATCCTCGCCTCGGCGCTCCCCTGGGCTTGCGCTGGGCTCAGACAGCGGCCCTGCACGGCGGCTGCTGGGCGGGCGAGCGGAGCTCCGCGTCGCGGGTCCTTGTCCTAAGGCGGCCTCTAAGGTTCAGTCCTTCCACAGTCACCGGGCAGCCACTGCAGAGCGCGCTGCTGGATGGAGTTTGTAGGCGCTCCGACAGCCGCTGGGTGACGCGGACGCTCCTTCCCGTAACTCGGGCCTTCAGGAAGGTGAGTCCACGCAGGCCATTCCCACCACGACGGGCGGCAAGCGGTGCTGTGCGGCTGAGTGACTGCGTGCCAGCGAGCGCCGAGCACCCAGGACAGAGAAGCCAAGACTACACATGGAAACCCTCGCATCAGCACACCACAGCGCGGCGTGGTCCGCAGGGCCGAAGAGAAATAACCCGCGTGCACCAAGGGGCATCTCTCCTCCAATAACTTGAGCAAAAAATTGTAGAACGAGACTTCTCATCATGCCATTTGGGTCACCCCCTCCCTCAATACTACGTAGTGCCACTGAATAGGCAGATTTGTATATATCTGTATATGAACGCCACACACACACACACTCGACACAGGAGAGTGGTGGGGTCTGGGACACACACACATGACACATACAGGAGAGTGGTGGGGTCTGGGACACACACACATGACACATACAGGAGAGTGGTGGGGTCTGGGACACACACACATGACACATACAGGAGAGTGGTGGGGTCTGGGACACACACACACATATGCACACATGACACATACAGGAGAGTGGTGGGGTCTGGGACACACACACATGACACAGGAGAGTGGTGGGGTCTGGGATACACACACACTCGACACAGGAGAATGGTGGGGTCTGGGACACACACACACTAGACACAGGAGAGTGGTGGGGTCTGGGACACACACACATGACACATACAGGAGAGTGGTGGGGTCTGGGATACACGCACACATGACATACAGGAGAGTGGTGGGGTCTGGGACACACACACACTCGACACAGGAAAGTGGTGGGGTCTGGGACACACACACACTCGACACAGGAGAGTGGTGGGGTCTGGGACACACACATGCACACAACACAGGAGGGTGAGGGTTCTGAGGTCTGGGATACACACACACGCACACACATGACAGGAGGGTGATGGGGTCTGGGACACGCACACACACATACTCGACGTAGGAGGGTGATGAGATCTGGGACCCACACACATACATGCACACACATGTACACACGACACAGGAGGGTGAGGGTGCTGAGTCTGGGATACACACACACGACACAGGAGGGTGGGGGTGCTGAGGTCTGGGATGGAAATGCCGTGTCCCGGGGACTTGTGCTTGCTCTGCACGGTCGAGTGTTTATGTAACGACAGCACGTAGGAGCCACTTGTATCATCAGCAAGCTCTTGTCTAAAAAAAGGAGGGGAGGGAGAAGAGAGAAACTCAACGACCCGATACCATGTGAAAAGGAAAACCAGCCACCATATTCTTCCCATCACCGCGCAGGTTGCTAGGTGCCAACTGGCCAACTTTCGTGCCTGCCTCCTGCCCGCCCTGGGCTGACCTCCTACACGCCCTTCCTTTGCACACGGCCCTTCCTTTGCACACGGCCCTTCCTTTGCACATGGCCGACTCTGCAACCCCTTCGTTCCTCCTTCCCTGAAGCCTCAGGCAGGCCTCGCCCTCCGTGCGAGTTCCTGTCCTCTGTGCCCTGCTCCCCCACCGTCCAGGCACCGACATATCACAACGTAGCAGGGTAACCCCCGCCCCCACACTGCACAGTGAGCCAGGGCTCTTCCAGACGGCACCCGGGACGTAGCAGGTGCTCGGCACGCACGGCCGGAGTGAGCAGCAGGAAGACTCCCAGGACCAGTGCCCACGCGCTGGCCGCAAGCACAGAGCACGAACCTGAGGCTGCAGCTTCCCGGGGAGCTGGCACCTTGGCCCAGGGCTGCCCGATTCAGGTCGCCCCTCCCACAGCTGCCCGAAGTCAGACCCAGGGTCGTCCACCCAGTCCAGCAATGGCCCTGACACGCAAGGGAAGGGAAAACAGGGACGCCCACACACAGGCACAGATGGCCACAGCAGCCCAACGCAGCGGACACACCAGTGGCCACCGCCAGACGGACGGCTGCACAGACGCGGAATATCACACAGTGGAGTATTACTCAGGCTCAAAAAGGAATGAGACGCTGACACGCGCCACAGTCCGGGGGAAGCTGAAACACTGTACTAGGTGACAGAAGCCAGACAGAGATGAACTGTGACTCCGTTTACGGAGGAATTCCGAGAGCCACAGAGCAGAACAGGGGCTGCGGGGGGAGAGGACAGCTGTTTCCAAATGGGCAAGGAGCGTCTGTCCGGGATGAGCAAAGCTTCGGAAAATCCGTGGTGACAGCTACGCAACACTGTCAGTTCACTAAATCATACTCTTACAAGTCGTTCAAGTGGAAATTTAATGGTAAAAAGAGAAGCCAACAATTTGATGCATTTTTACACCCTCATTCTCAGATGCGTCAGTCACCGAATGTCTGCTCCGGTAGGGATTTTACAGCGTTGTCACCCGATCGCCCTTGCCTATCCACGTAAAGACCCAAAAGCCACCAGCTTCTCCCGTGGCTGCCTCGGAACCTTCTGTGGACCCTGCACTGACCACAAACCCACACCCTGCTCCAGGGCGGCCCGGAGCGGGGCGATGGTTGTACGCAGGCCCAGCCCGTCTCACTAGGCCACTCCGGAGGTGAGCGCTCTGCTTGCCAATCATATTTTACAGTCTGAAATCCTGCACATGAACAATTACTTAGTTTTGTTAGATTACTGGAAGTCGGTAAGCTTTCATAACATCGGGATTAAAACCCATTTCATTGATACCACACCTGCAAACGAAGTATCGTTTACAACTGTGCTATCAGGAAGCGCCCTAATGGGCCAGAGGTGCAAAGCACACACGTCCTAAGGAAAACGATGCCCGACACAGGAGCAAGATCCTCGCCCTCTGCCCGGAGCACTGGCAGCGCAGCACTGCCGTGACCTGTTCCCCGTCAGCGCCGCCCCCTCCAAAGTGTCACCCCGAGAAATAACGCGGCAGGCGTCCACTGCGGGGCCTCTCACACGGTCCGCACTGAGGCTGGGGAGGAAGTGCTGGCGCCGGCCGCCTGCCTGCCAGCCCTGCCCCGGCGACAGTCACTTCCCACCAGCAGGCACCCAGGCCCACAGACCACACGGATCCGCCCAACACGCTAAGGACCCGTGCAGAAGCAAGCGGACTTCAGCGTGGGAAGGCGGGGTGAGCAGGCGATGTGAACTTTCCAAGCGTATCTGTGACACAGTGAGATGTGACAGCAGGGACAGTCACGGTGACAGCAGACACTCACACACGTTTCTCTGTGGCAAGAAATGGCCTTGACTGCATTCAGCAGGGCCCAACACCAGGGCACGTTTGTACCCTGGGGGACATCCGACACCACGGTAGCGGAAGACTGGTCACAGTGCCGCGGAACGAGGGGTCCGGCATGTCGGGTTTCACGTTGTTAGACCCCGACAAGAGCCAGGGGCTCCTGAGAACTCACACTCATCAGGGCAACCCCAACGGGTGTCGGTAGACCCAGCAGCAAATAGGAAAACGGCTGGGGAGCGCCCTGCGGCCTGTCTCGGCTGTGGGTAAAAACAGAAGTCACACGTTGCTATTCTTTGTGCTTTCAAAAACACATCCTCCCCGTACCTAGAAATACTCTCGCACCACAGACGCGTCCTTTCGTCTGAGACAGAAGGCTCCTTACAGGACAGGGGACCCAGTGGGCTCCCAGTGGGAGTCTGCGGGGGTCTATCCTGTCACAAAGGCGATTTCTCTCCCTGACCACTTATTTTTGGTACGTACAGTTTCTGTTTTAAGACGTATTTATACTGAAACAGAGTTACACACACAGAGGGCCAGCCAGACAGCAAGAGATCGTCCATCCACTGGACTGGTTCACTCCCCAAATGGCCTCAATGGTCAAGGCTGGGCCAGGCTGAAGCCGGGAGCCTGGGACTCCATCTACGTCTTCCAAGTGGGTGGCAGGGGCCCAAGTACTTGGATCATCGTCGGCTGCTTTCCCAGGTGTATTAGCAGGAAACCAGGTCAGAGCGGAACAGCCGAAACTCAAACCGGTGCTCATATGGGATGCTGGCATTGCAGGCTGGACTGCGGTTTAACCCACTGTGCCACAACGCCAATCATGGTCAAAAGCTTTACAATGTGCTTCTCCAGTCGCGCTATACAGAAATCACTAGGCAGGGTAGTGCTGATTCGAGTTTTCTTTGATAAATCTGTTGGCTATTTTACTAATTTATGTAAACAAAAAATGCACAGTATTCATTTCTTTAACAGAATGGCTTCTATTTGTACAGTATTTATGTATCAGTGTCCTACAAAGAAAAACGGTCTTTAAAAACTTGAGGTCTGGGGCTGGCGCTGTGCGTAGTGGGTAAAGCCGTCTGCAGTGCCAGCAGCCCATGTGGCAGCCGGTTTGACACCCGGCTGCTCCACTTCTGATCCAGCTCCCTGCTGTGGCCTGGGAAAGCAGCGGAAGATGCCCAAGTACTCGGGCCCCTGCACCTGCTTGGGAGACTGAGAGGGAACGCCTGGCACCTGCTTCGGATTGGCCCAGCTCCAGCCGTTGCGGCCATCTGGGGAGTGAACCAGTGGAAGAGAGACCTCTATCTCTTTGCCTCTGCCTCTCTGTAACTCTGCCTGTCAAACAAATAATTTTTTTTTTAACAAAAACTTGGGGATGCGCTGTGGTGTAGCTGGTAAAGCTGTTGCCTACAGTGCTAGCATCCTATATGGGCACCCATTCGAGTCCCGGCTGCTTCACTTCCGATCCAGCTCTCTGCTGTGGCCTGGGAAGGCAGTGGAAGATGGCCCAAATCTTGGGCCCCTGCACCCGCGTGGGAGACCTGGAGCAAACTCCTGGTTCCTGGCTTCCGATCACCGCAGCTCCAGCTGTTGTAGCCAATTGGGTGTGAACCAGTGGATGGAAGACCTCTCTCTCTCTCTCTGCTTTTCCTTCTCTCTCTGTGTAACTCTTTCACATAAATAAATAAATCTTTAAAAAAAAAAAAACCACACACACACCAAAACTTAAGGTCAGACGCCTGTATTCCACGTTGCAGTGCCAGTTCAAGTCCCAGTTGCTCTGCTTCTGATCCAGCGCCCTGCTCACACCCCTGGGAGGCAGGGGATGACGCCTCATGTGCTTGAGTTCCCGCCACCCACGCGGGAGACCCTGGTACCACCCACGCGGGAGACCCTGGTGGAATCCCCGGCTTCTGGTTGCAGCCTGGCCCACTCTGAAGGTTGTGGCATTTGGGGCGTCAGCCAGCAGGTGGAAAAAGTCTCTGTCACTCTGCCTTTTAAATACATAAGTAAATCTTAAAAAATCTTCGACTAAATTTATTTCTATGACAGTTATAGCACAGTGAGTACTCTGGGAAGAAAACTTAATGTTAATCCCCACTACTTCTTACTTGAAAGCATTCTCCTTTAAGATTTCATGTAAACTGACCACATGAATGATCAAAGAACAAAGCTATATATTCAGGAGAAAACAACGCAATGGAGACGGTTTCACAGAGTCTCAGAATCTGAAGATCACTTGACACTGAGCGAATGCAGATCCCGGCCCGCGCCCCCCACTCCCGCTGCCCGCTGCCCGCCCCAGAGCTCACAGAGAATCGAGAGCAGCCGAGCGTGCCTTCCAGCGGTCAACACAACCACGGACGAGGGAGGTGCACACGATCAAGGGCACACGGAGCAGGGCAGCGCGAGGTGGCTGCCGTGACTCACTCTGAGTCTCCCTGTGGTTCCACCTGGAAACAAACAAGAGACAAAGCAGCCACAGCTAAGCTCAGCTCCCCAGCAGACTGACGGTGCCGCCGGGGTCTTCGACAGGCCGCGGGATACGACTGTGAGTTCTTCTCAGTCTGCAAAAAGAACCAGGGGAGAGGAGAATAAAAACCAACTTTCCAGGCGGGAAATACTTAGAAAGCCTTTTATGTCAAAGTCAGGATTTCACAGCACACTAATGGAAAATCCAGTAGCACCTGTAAGGTTTAAGTCACTGCTGCCATCACTTAAATGCTGTTAAGTGTCTGCAAAAGACTGAAGAAACAAAAGGATAAAGTACATTCTCCAGAGAACAGGTGTATTTCAAAATAAAAACTGTATTTTTTGCCAGTTTTTGCTCTGTACAAGAATCCATTGTTGTCGTAACTCATACACAGTGGGATCAACACTGGCTCTCCTCCTGCACAGCACAGTCCACAGGCTCAGGCTACAGTCCCCAACATCATTTTCTGAGAAATACATTACCGCATTTGCATCGAAACAGAGATACATCAGATAATACCAGTCTCTGGGAAAAGTCAGATTTTAATATGCAAATGTTTATTTATATAATACAGAAATGGAAAAACTACAGTAGGCACACGAGCTAATGATGACTGGCAGGTGATGGTCTCTAAGTAGCCCTCTACAAGGACTGGCTGTGAGAGTCCTCCCGAGAAGGTTTCTCTATCTGTGCGCTTGTGTCCACCTCATCCCATACACTGACCGTGGCTACTGACAATCTGGGAATTGAAAGGTACAGCCCTCAAGAAAGTGTTAAGTCACTAAAAAACAAAACAAAGCAAAAAAAATTAGGCTCTACTGGACACGGAAAACACTCACAAAAGTTCAATTTCAAATTTTATATCAGTAGGAAAATATTAAAAATAATTTTCTGTATATACATATGGGTATATGTATATATTGAATTACTCATGTCTCACATCATCAATATAAGCCAAGTGGAGACATTCTGGTAAGTTTTTTTTTCCCATTAAATGACTACTATGTCAAAATTTAAAAATATTTTCTTAAATCATTAAAATACTTCACTTACCATTTCAACAGCTTACACTGCTTTTTAAAATTTTTTAGCTGTGCATCACTAAACTCCCTGATCCCCATGTAAATGAAAACCTATTAATCCTTGTTACTCAGCAACTCATAGATAGAATCACATCTACTGCAAACTTCTACCAAATGGATAGATTTATTACCTGATTTATCTCAGCTCTGAGCATGTACACCTAAATTATTCTCACTACAACAAACAGGTGAGGAAAACAGCCTAAAATAGAGAGAGGTAATATGACGCTATGGCACACGTACTATATGGTGATTAAGTGTCTGATAGAAACATTTCAGAGACACCTGAAAACTCACTTTAGAAACTAACTTTAGAAACAAACCATTTATTTTTCACTCTAATATAAATTAATATGTATGTAGTTACTTACATACACATACATATAAAACAAAATTGTCTAGTGTTCAGTAGCTGTTTATGAGTGAAAAAATGGTTACAAACTGAGTAAGTAGCTTCAATTTGAGTTGACAGTTCAGTCACCTTGGGATACAGACAGACGTCGGTGCATCACAGACTCCGTGGAGTCAGATACTCAAGCACACACTTTGCGCGAGAACCTCCTCCACGCGACGGGCACTGTACAGCCAGACATGTGCTCCGGTGCAGTCCCGCTCCATAGCAGACCAGACAGCACTTGGCTCACTTTTAAAATAGCTTCATGAAAGAAATATCATATAAAGAAATGCATGTTTGCTAAAAGTCTTTTAAAATCACATCAAAACAACATTAAAACCTGCTCACTGAGAAGGGCCTACTGAATGTCATTCCTGACTGGAAGTGCCTGGTGACCAGTTCAGACCCGTGTCTGGCAAAGTCTGCGTGATGACGCCAGCGCCAGCGGCCGCGATCCCAGCTCAGTCAGTCTTCTCTGGTTGGCTGATGTGGGTGAGTCCCCTTTAAAACAGCAATACACCTTAAAATTATCTATAGTAAACAGTTCCCCAGCAACCATTAGTATTCGTAAATTGAAATGCATTGATCATTCAGAAAAGATTTCTTGCAAAATATATAAATAAATGTTAACTGCATATTCTGTAAATATACTTAACGTTAATTGACCAGGCCGTCAAGGACGGGCTGTCCTATTTCAGAAGTGTGTGTGTCAAATTTATTAGAAATTTAAAAAGAAAAATTTCTGAGGGACTCAGCTGCCTTCGTTAGTTGGCTTTAAAATATGTAATAAAATGGGAGACAGTATCTGCTGAAACGCATGGATCAATGTGGAAAAGTAACCTGTTCACAGACAAGGTTAGAGGACACCAAGGTACAGAGTAGTCACCGCAGTGAGGCGTCTTCCGTACAAAAGGGAAGAGCTCATACCCCCAGGTAGAGTGTGTTCAATGAGAGACGCAGCTCTCTCTCACTCCTGGCAAGAATTAATTGGTAATGGCACTGCTTCGCAGCAGCGCAAAAATATCCTGAGAAATTATTCAGATTACAACAAAAGACAGGGCTTTTCCTCACTTAATTTTTGCACAAAACACAGCTCTAGATATCGTAAATAAATTAATTTAAAAAGCAGATCATCTTCACTGTGTTGAACACAAAAAGGGCATGTGACCCAGACGTTGTTAGTGCTCCCATTGGCTAATCTCAGAAAAAAAGATGGCATCAAGTGTCTATTGATAACGTTCTAGCTAACTATGGCCAATAATATACATGGAGGTAATTTGTAGTTCAAGTGTTTCCTTTCTTGCGTTTTCCCCCAACTAGCCACAAGCTGGATTCTAAAATTTACACTGAAATATACAATTCCAATGTCCAAAAGCCCCTCCTCCTGGGGAGTGACACTCAGTGTTTTTGTGCAATCTTGATGCGGAGCCCGAGCAGTCCCGCGGAGAAGGACGGCGCCCGGTCCGCCGGCGGCACGCGGCACGCGGCGCCCGGGCCTGCCCTTAGCTGCACTCCAGCAGCTTGGCCAGGCTGTCGCGGAGCTCCGAGAGCTCGAAGATCTTCCCGTCCAGGATCTCAAGGAGCGTCTTCAGGTTATTGCGAAACGCTTCCTGCTCGTTCTGACTCCTCTCCAGGCGCTGCTCCAAGTCAGAGAGCTGTCCCTCCAGGTCTTTGTTCCGAATTTCCACTTCCTTTAGAGACAAGAATGTTGATATACACGTCAATACGGCAGTCAGAAAACCCGGCTCTCGGGGATTACCAAGTTGCCAGCCAGGATGAGCCTCTGCCCCTCCATCTAACACACTGAAAGGAGACACCACATCTGGTGACTGCACTGTTCACACATCTTTGCGTCCACACCGCGAAGGGTCACTCAGTCCTCGCGCCAGGAAGCGCTACAGGCACTCCGCACACCGACACACGTGAACACCCTCTGGGCACTGCCATGTCTTCTTCACTGCTGCTCACCCACTCTCCTTGTTTCCACCTGCTTTTCCTAACACACAGCTGAGAGCAAGCTCAGTGAGACAGGCAGCGGGAAGCCGAGAGACGCACTTTCTTCCTTGCTGACAACCCTGAAGAGACTGAGAAAGGACAGCACCGCCTGCGCGGCACCGCCGGAGGTTCTGACTGAACCAGTCTGCGTTCTGCCTCAGAGAGAGAGCACAGCTCAACTGCTAAGACTGCACGGAAGACAGTGAGAATGCTACATGGGAGACAAGCATGAAGGTGACCCCCAACACCCATCACACCAGGGACAGCACCCACACCGCAACACCCTCACCAGGGACAAAGCAGCACCCAACACCTATCACACCAGGGACAGCACCCACACCGCAACACCCTCACCAGGGACCAAGCAGCACCCAACACCCATCACACCAGGGACAGCGCCAACACCACAACACCCATCACACCAGGAACCAAGCTACACCCAATATGCCACACCAGCGATAAAGCAACACCCAACACCCTCACACCAGGGACAATGCCAATACCATAACACCCATCACACCAGGGACAAAGCCACACCCAACACCCTCACACCAGGGACAAAGCAACACCCAACACCCATCACACCAGGGACAAAACACCCATCACACCAGGGACAAAACCAGCACCCAACATCCATAACACCAGGGACCAAGCAACACCCAACACCCATCACACCAGGGACAAAGCAACACCCAACACACACAGTGTTCCACAAACTCATCAAAAAGCTGACACTTCTAACAAACCAAGGGAAGAAAGAAAGGACAAAGGGAAGAAAAAGTTCATGACAACAAGAAATGTTTAGAAATTGATAAATACTTCAAAACCGTTAGTAGAGACAATTTTGAGTGTTCTCAAAACTAATAATGATAAATTTTTGAGTTTATGGACAGGCCAACTACTCTGATAAGATCTTTACATTTATTCAAATATCACACTGCACTCTATAAATCTATACAATTATTACACATTAAAAATAAAAATTTTAAAAGACTAGCACAAAAACTTAACATAGTAAAATCTGAGAAATTGAAAAATTATTTTAAAAATACTGCCTTTAAAAATGTTTCTAGGCTGGTGCCGCCATAGCTCAATAGGCTAATCCTCTGCCTGCGGCGCCGGCATACCAGGTTCTAGTCCCAGTTGGGGCGCTGGATTCTGTCCCGGCTGCCCCTCTTCCAGGCCAGCTCTCTGCTGTGGTCCGGGAGTGCAGTGGAGGATGGCCCAAGTGCTTGGGCCCTGCACCCCATGGGAGACCAGGAGAAGCACCTGGCTCCTGCCTTCGGATCAGCGCAGTGCGCCGGCCGCGGTGGCCATTGGAGGGTGAACCAACGGCAAAGGAAGACCTTTCTCTCTGTCTCTCTAAAAAAAAAAAAAAAAAAAGAATCCCTTCCTTTAAAAAAAAAAAAGTTTCTAGAGGCCAGTACTGTGGCACAGTGATAAAGCCTCTGCTTGCAGCACCGGCATTCCATATGGGCGCCGGTTCGAGTCCCATCTGCTCCTCTTCCAATCCAGCTCCCTGCTGTGGCCTGGGAAGGCAGTGGAAGATGGCCCAAGTCCTTGGGCCCCTGCACCCACATGGGAGACCCAGAAGACGCTCCTGGCTCCTGGCTTTGGATTGAACCAGCTCTGGCAGTTGTGGCCATTTGGAGAGTGAACCAGCAAATGGAAGACCTCTTTCTCTCTGTCTCTCCCTCTCTATCTGTAACTCTACCTCTCAAATCTTTAAACAATGTTTCTAGCATTGAAAATATAACAAAATGAGTCTAAAAAATAAAATGATGCCTATCAAGCTACTGATGCAATTCTGCAGGTGTTGCTGAGCTGTCAGCCGCTTGGGAGACACGTTGCCCGCGAGTGAGCGAGCCTGGAATCGAGTCCCAGCTCTGCTGCTCGTGCAGCTTCCTGCTAATACGACCAGGAGGCAGCAGCGATGGCTCCAGGAATGGGCTCCGGCCACCCACGAGGGGAGCCAGATGGAGTTCCCAGCTCCTCGCACGGGCCTGGCCCAACCACAGCTCTTGGGTCCATTCTGGGAGAGAGTCAGGCTATGGAAGATCTGTGTGTGTGTGTGTGTGTGTGTGTGTGGCCTTCTGTTGCTTTGCCTTTCCAAAAAAAATTAAAAAAAAGGAAATTTAAGAAAAATAAAATTGAGAAAAATAGCAGAAAGCCAGCTGTCACACTTAAAACAGTCACACAATGTCTACAGGAACTCTGTGAAGTTTACGGTATCACTGAACAACCAGCTAGTCAGTGCTGAAGGAGACGGTGAAGCAGCCCGAGCACTGGGGGCACACCCCCCAGTCATAACGTGCCAGGCTCACGCGAGAGTGCCGCGGAGCAGCTGCCGGGGCCCGGGCAACACAGCAAGGGATGAGCAGCTCTCCTGACTTGCAGTGGCCAAATCCAACCTCACGGTGTGCACGGAGTTGCAGTTAGCCATGCAGGTTTCTATCAGCTGAGGCTACCTAACAAAACACTACAAATCCAGATGCCAAATTCATACAGCCTTTGACTGCGATCAAATGGACCAATCCCACTGGAGAACGCAGAGCACGCCCCCCTGCGGACATCGACAGCAAGAACCAGGACAGAATGTGTCCACCCACCAAAAATACCCAATGTCATTTACCAGCAAACACCCCCTCAGCCAGCCTGCCTGGAAAATGGAAGGCTCTGGGCAGGCGCCGTGGCACAGTAGGTAAAGCATCTGCCTTCAGCACTGGCATCTCACAGGGGCTCCAGTTTGAGTCCCAGCTGCTCCACTTCTGATCCAGCTTCCTGCTAATGGCCCGAGAAAGCAGTCTAAGATGGCCCAAGTGCTTTGGCTCCTGCACCCATGTGGGAGAGCCAGAAGAAGCTCCCAATTCCTGGCTTTGGACTGGCGCAGCTCCTACCGTTGCAGCCATTTGGCACCTGGCTGCAATGACAGTATATCAAAACAACACATTTCGGGGGTTTCTTAGACTTGGTCACTGGATTAAAACTGCCGGTGTACATCTCCCACCGTGAGGCATACAGTGCACAGGGTGGGGCTGCCTGTGAGCCTGCACAGCCAGGGTCTGGACTGGGTTCTGGGTTACAGGACTGAAAGACTCCTGTTACTCAAGGAGCTGAGGCAATATGACAATAAGGGACCGGAAGAAGCTCCTGGCTCCTGGCTTTGGATCGGCCCAGCTCTGGCCATTGTGGCCATTTGGGGAGTAAGTCCGCACATGGAAGATCTGTCTCTCCCACTCTCTCTGTAACTCTGCCTTTCAAATAAAATAAATAAATCTTTTTTTTTTAAATCAGGAAGCATATAATAAACATTAGTAAACCTGACTGAAGAAAGAGAGAGAGCGTGAACTTGCACTCTATGAGAGCAGAGTTCCTATACTGAATGAAACCTGCTTCACACAATTTCTTTAAATTCAGGGTATTTCTTATGTCACAAGTAGAAATTTCCATAGGGGCCAGTGTTGTGGCAGTAGGCTAGGCCTCAGCCTGCAGCACTGGCATCCCTTGTGGATGCCGGTTTGTGTCCCAGATGCTCCTGTTCCGACCCAGCTCCCTGCTACAGCCTGGAGAAGCATCGGGAGATGGCCCAAATGCCTGGGCCCCTGCACCCACATGGGAGATGGGGAAGAAGCTCCTGGCTCCTGGCTCTGGTTCAGCTCCAGTCCAGGCAACCATTTGGGAGTGAACCAGCAGGTGGAAGACATCTGTCTGTCTCTCCCTCTCTAACTCTGCCTCCCAAATACGTAAGATCTTATGAAAAAAAAGAAGTTTCCATAATAACTGACTAAAGCTAATGTGTACATGACCACCTATGATGATTATAAACAACCACAAGGCGTGAATGATAAGTGAATGAGAAGAACCCAAGAAGCAGGCGTGCATCTAAAGTCCCGGAAGAGGAAAACAGCAGCGGCGTCCTCCAGAATGGAGTCTCGGGAAGGTCGCAGCTACGTCAAAGACGGCCACGCCCCTGCACAAGCGTGTGTGCGGTGCCGCCCGCCTCACCTGCAGCTTCTGAGTCAGAGAGTCCCGCTGCTCCTGCAGTTCTCTGGCATTATCAATTTCTTGTTTCAATCTCTCTATTTCCTAGAAAAGGTAGAGCAAAGCCTTTCAGGACAACATCAAAACCGCATCAAGCAAAGGCAAGGCCTGATTTTTCCCTGAAATCATTGCTGCCGTTCTTAGAGGATTCAGAAGCCGCTCTTCGGTGCTGACTTGTCAAGGACAGGTGCGCCGCTAGACACAATGATCCCAGGCAACAAGTCCCCCTGGGGCTGTCACCGGGCGCTGCCTAGAAACCAGGGCTGCTTCAAGCTGTGTGGATACAGACAACTCTTTCGTAGCGTATTAAAGCTTTTGACTGGAAACCAGAGCACCCACTTGTAAAATTTGTTTGCCCCGTCATGGTTTTCTGTTAATTCCATGAATGTGAGTGACCCTCACACAGCAGGCAACCGCCAGCGTCGCAGTCTGCCTGCCTCATTCCAGCGCACAGCA